CTCCCGTTACAGAGTTGATGCTGACTGCATATCTGCCACATACCCCTCTTCTCCCGTTTGTGTGCAGGGTATACAAAGTTTAAGCTTTGCTTTGGACAATTGCATTGCGATTTCAGCAAGTCAGCAAGTCGGAGGCACAGTCAAGGTCAGCTCGAATTTGAAACAGTAGCCTAAATACGTGAATATTGTGTTTTGTTTTGGCAGCTCTGTTGCACACACGAGCTGTGTGGCAAATCGATCAACAGGCAGGAAGCCGAGCCACTGTTGCACTTGAAATTCTTCTCGGCCTGGCCCAAGTCAACCACCTGCCACCACCTGCATTAGCTGCGAGTTGGCGCATGCGTAGCCGACGCGTTGGAGTCGCAGTCGGAGCCGAAGTCTCGGCCTGACGCTCGGGCTGACGCTCTTATAAATAAGCCGTGCGTTGGCGCAGTTTTTGTTATTTGAACTTCAAATCTGATCGAGTTCGCATCGTCTGCTGCCAGGCGGCGTTACAATAATTCTCGTGCGTCGTTCTCACTAGCGAAACGCGCGCGTTTTTCTAGCGTTTTTTAACCGCGCGTGTTCTTGTGTGTGAGTGGGCAGCTATTGCCATAAACAGAAAAATAGAGAGACACTGTGACTTCTATATAGAACATATGCTAATCCATATATAAACTATATATAAATATATATGTGTATTTTTAGCTGCTGACGCAAGTGTTGCTCTAAGCTCTATATTTCGGCTTGCCCCGCGCTGTTGCAGCCCAGCTCAAGCATGAGGATGGTGAGTTTTAGTGTAAAATAGTGTGTGTGTGCCGCATCTGAACAATCAAGCAATAACAATATCAGCTGAGAGGCAACTTAAGGCTAGAATGCAAGAAAGGTTCACACTTTTTTGGGGTGCAGTTCCAGTTGCAGTTGCAGTTGCAGTTGCAGTGGCTGTGGCAGCTGGCATCGACTGCGACTTCGGCATCGCATTTGTCTGTCAAACAAAATTGCTCAACCGACGAAGACGAAAAGACAAAAAAAAAATCAAGTAAGAGTATTTAGGCGGGGAGCAACCGACTAGCAGATAAGTTTCGGTGCTTGAAGTCCGATCTTTTTAAAATTTACAATGTTCTACATTTGTGTATTCTATACGAGACTTCTGACTCTTATAAGCTTCGAAGTATGAACATGATTTTGTTATCGATTTATATCGACTTAATAGAGTCGACGCAAGTTATCGATACTTTCAGACAAACTTTATCAAAAGTAGAAGCTGCATTCCAAATATCAAATCTCTAGCTCTTACAGTCTCTAAGATAGACGCATTCATATAGAGGGAAGAACCCATCGATCGACTCGTTTGTTCATCTGACTCCATCCTTATCGTTATCGATTTTTATCGAGTTCACGACGCTAGGTATCGATACTTTTAGACAAACTTCATCAAAAGGAAAAGCTACATTCCAAATACAAATCTCCAGCTCTAATAGTCTTAAAGATCCTCATACAGAGAGAGAGAAGTATCGATCGACTTGTTTGCTCAAAATAGTTTCGATGCCTTCTGCTGCCTGTTGCATACATATGCACAAATGCTTTATACCCCTTTTGGGCATTTTAAATGGGTTTAGGGTATGGAAAAACGGTTTCTAAAAGCGACAGCAAAAACAAACAACTTACGAGCAAGCCGACGATTCGTTTACGTATTTCCATGCGCTGGCAAAATTTGCATAAATGGCGCTACAATTGAGGAAAATCGGTACAAGTACAAATTAAATAACAGAAAACTGAGAAAAGCTGAAAAAAACAAACTGAAAAAAACAGGTGGCAAACAAAACGGTCGAGCAACGCGACCTGCCGCAACAGCCATTAGGCGTTGCATGTGGCTGATGACAACAACAACAACAGCAAAGGAAACGAGTTACCCTTAAGTCGAATAATAAGTCTAATACCTCGCAAAGTGTTACCCAAAGCTCAGTTGACGCGCCGCTGAGCAAAGCGAAGACCCACGAACCGGAAACGCTCATAAATGCGCTCGTTTCGTCGCCTTGTCCCTCCCCCCCTTTCTGCCACTTAGCGCTCTTCACGCTAAAACGCACCTGTTCTTGGCCGATGCCGCAAATGTTGCAAGAGATTCGCCCAACCCAATTTGCTTGGCCAGCGACCACGTTGCGTGTGCGCAATGCGCAAAGTGTGCCGCAGCATAACAAAAGTTGTCATCGTACTGACTTGTCGAGTGTTGGGTGGCAAACTGTAATTAATGCCAGCTATAAAAAGCCACAGCCAGATTTTCTTCAAGGTCGCCAACACACGCACACGCACACACACACGCACACACAGACTGTTTTTTGTTAAGGGAATTTCACACGCCTCAATTGTGACAATTAACGCGCCCCAAAGCAAGTTGTTGTTGTTGTTGTTGCTTTGTTGCCATTACGCATTGTTGTAAAAATGACTCGTCGTGATTTAACAATCAGATTCTCTGTCTCTCTCTCTCCCTCTCTCTCTCTCCCCTTCCCCTTCTAGTTTTGTGGGTGCAGCTATTGCAACAGTTATGAGAATAACAGAATTATGCCACTTCAAATGAGTTGGCAATTTGTCAAAAATGTTGTAATTAATAGGGCTGCAAAAACCAAAAATTGTGTGGCCTATTCGGTTCAGGGTTAGAACCAACAGCCGGACTTGAGTGGCGGTTCGTGAAGCTGATTTAGCACAGACATGAACCCAGGTTTTGGTTCACACCTTTCTTTATTTTTAAAGGAACTTAATGGAATTTCATATACAAAACGGGGCTGGGTCTGACTTAAGAACTTATTTATCTTTTTTCCAACTATTTTCAGGATTCGGTTTTATTAGTAAAATGATTAGAATTCTAGTCTTGAACCGGTTCGGTTTGCAGCCTTGGCTGTGAAACCTGTTTTATAGCTATAAATAATATCCAAAAATCTGATGTGAAACTTTTAATTAGAGCGGATATTTACAATCTACAACAGTTCATCTAAAAATTGCTTGCTGTTGCCCAAAAAAAAAGAATTGTTTTCGTTTTTTTCAGCACACTTCCATATGTGTTAAATTGAATTAAAAAGAGAAAAAGGCGAATCACATTTGCCGTACGCCTTCTACTCGGCACGTTGAGAATTTATTGTATGACACCTGAGTCACAGCCATATACAAACAATTCAACACAAAAAAAATACTCACTTAATTGGGCTGCGACTTAATGGTCAACATATCACAAAGTTGTTGTTTGCTCTTTGCTAAATGCGGTTGAACAAAATCATTTAAGCTATAAAACTATAATAAATGTCGCCCAGAACAGAGAACTCTGAACCGAGACAACTCTGACAGCAGCCGTAGCTGAGGAAGCAACAGTTCTTATACCCTTTTACAGAGCATTCCAATAGAGTCTTGAACTGTGTAACGCATAGAAGATACGTTCTTCTTAGACCCCTTTGGGGATCAGTATCAAGGAACGAGTCGATATAGGATTAGGGCTATCCACATTAAACTTTATCACGCAGCTTCCATAGGAAGAAATGCTTGTATAAAATACATTTTTGTTTTTCAAGAGCTGAACAATAGATTATTTACGAGTTCATGACACACACAGGAGCCAAGTCTTATTGGATAACTTTATCATCTAGCTCTAAGGGAAGAAATGCTCTTAAAATGTTCTTCATCAAACTTGGCAATTACAAGCTTCACAATTCTTTCCAAATTTCCGCAAGTGTATTTAGACTAAGCAACTAAGAGCTTCACAATTTTACTCAATTTTCGGCAAGTGTATTAAGACTTCGAGGTGCCTCTAATAGTTGTTCTCTCTCTGGTTTTTTATGGGTCCAGTGCAATTGCACTTTTGTACAGACGAGCTTCAGTTTTAGCACTGACAGCTGACAACTCGGCCTCAGTTGCTGTGTGTGGAGTGGCAAATTTTTTTAAATATCTTTTTTTTTTTGCTTACAATTAATCAAAAAATGTCTGTCTCAGCTCGACGAGCTGAGTTAAGTCACAGCCGCTTGTTGCGTGGGAGACTGAAACTATTTTTATATATTTATTTAGATGGGTTCTTTGCTTTGTTTCTGCGTTACCGAATCGTTTGATAGCTTGTCGTTTGGAGTTTATGGCTTTTGAGAGCTCACTCAAGGTGGTCTCTAATGCCCCCAACAAATTATGTGCTTCAGAAATTCCGGGTTCTTTGCCAAAATCTAACGCCAGACTTGTTTGTTTGTCTCTCACGGATCTATCAGCTCGATTGGATTGAAACTATGTCATAAAATGAATGCAGAAAATACTTTTTATATATTTTTCTTCTGCCTTTGATTCCTGTTAGCAACAACTGACAGATTTGCTGTATACCCACGGCAAGGGTATAGAGTTTAATGGCAACAATTTGTTTTCTCCACTTCAAGGTTGACAAAAAGTTGTCTCAAATTAGTTTCGAGCCATTCGCCGCTGTTCAATTTAAATAAATCCGACAGTTTACTAATTAAGCCAAACTTTAATAATCAAATGCCAGCTGATGAATGGCTCGGGACGGGCCGTAAAAAGTTCTTTGAACTGGCCGAGCATAAAAAAAACCACAAAATTACGTAACATCGTTAACACTTACGTAATTAGAACATTTGTCGGGCCTGACTGCCATATGTTAATTGCAGACGCACTGACATTGAGTCGCAGTCCGAGGCTTTGGCTGTGGCTGTGGCTGTGGCAGCTGCTACCAGTTTCTGCTGCCCCAATAGGCCGGCGAGGCAGCTTGGCATGCGGGCGCCTTTGGTTCATAATTAATGAACAGCCTGTCATTGGGGGGCCATCATGCGGCATTCCACGTTGCGCTTAAATGCGTTTAGCTTGTTAATCAAAAGTCATTTACAAGTGACCCGTTTAGACGCGCGGCCCCAAAACCAATTAGGGGCTTTAAGCTGTGCCAATTTTGACCTCAGGTGCTTGTGTCCAAATTAAATATTTCCAAAATATTACAAAAGCATTCGCCAAAAAATTGTGTGCGGAAACTTGACGTGTTAATCCACGCTTCAATGTCCATTCGAACACCATTGAGGCTGTCCATCAGCTGTCTAGTAAAGTGTTTAAGAGCTCGACTAATCGATTTTATTATTTATTTTATTTTATTTCATTTTGCAGCAACTTCGCTTTTTATGCATCATTCTAGGCGCCGTGGGCGCCCAGTGCTTGTCTCCATTCTCCACCCAGCAGGATGGCCAACTGCAGGTAAGCTATATCCACGTTTAGCTCCACTTAACACTCATCTGATGCTCGCTTTTTTCAGGACCTGAGCCATGACGTGCATGGGGGATATGATTACCCGCAGCCGAAGGTGACCTTTACGGATGGTTATGCCTATCCACGCCCATCGGTGCCCTTCCCACCGCAGCCCCAACCGCCAAGCAGAGGCTATGATTACCCCAAGCCGACAATTTCCTTCCCGCCACCAACGAGCCCTCCACCACCACCACCACCACAGAAGATACAGAGTGGCTATTCGTATCCACGCCCATCGGTGCCGTTCCCGCCTCCAGAGCAACCGAAGTATATTCCGCCGCCGCAGCAGATTATTCCAGTGCAACCCAGCAAGGGCTACGATTATCCCAAGCCATCAATTCCATTCCCAGTGATACCGAAGAGTCCACCTCAACCACAATATTTGCCACCCGCGAAGCCAACAAATCCACCTCAACCACAGTACTTGCCGCCGCCGAAACCGACCAGCCAACCACAGCCTAAATACTTACCTCCCGCCAAGCCAAGTGGAGGATATGACTACCCGAAGCCGGCAATTGCATTCCCACCACCCGTTCAACCCACAAGCCCACCTCAGCCGAAATACTTGCCGCCCGTGAAGCCGACCAACCCGCCTCAGCCCAAATATCTGCCCCCAGTGCAGCCCAGCAAGGGATATGATTACCCTAAGCCAGCAATTCCTTTCCCTCCACCTGTTATAGTCAAGACTACACCACAACCTCAGTACTTGCGACCCGTCAAGCCAACAAGTCCGCCTCAACCTCAATATTTGCCACCTGTCAAGCCAAAATCAGGCTATGATTATCCAAAACCGGCCATACCTTTCCCACCACCTGCTCCGGTAAGACCAACAAGTCCACCACAACCAAAATACTTACCTCCCGTAAAGCCGACCAGCCCACCTCAGCCCAAATATCTGCCTCCGGTGCAGCCAAAATCAGGCTATGATTACCCAAAGCCGTCAATTCCATTCCCACCACCAGTTATTCCGAAGAGCCCACCTCAACCACAATACCTGCCGCCCGCAAAGCCAACAAGTCCACCTCAACCACAGTACTTGCCTCCTGTTAAGCCTACAAGCCCCCCTCAACCACAATATTTGCCTCCTGTTAAGCCAAAATCGGGATATGATTATCCAAAGCCAGCAATTCCATTCCCACCTCCGGCTCCATTACCCACTAATCCACCTCAGCCCAAATACTTACCTCCCGTGAAACCCACCAGCCCACCGCAGCCCAAATATTTACCTCCAGTCAAGCTGAGTGGTGGATATGATTATCCAAAGCCCGCAATTCCATTCCCACCACCCGTCATACCCAAGACCACACCTCCACCACAATACTTACCACCCGTGGTGCCGACCAGGCCACCTCAGCCCAAGCATCAGGGTTACGACTATCCGAAGCCAGCAATTCCATTCCCAGCACCTACCCCGGCCCAATATCTGCCACCTCCGGCACCGAAGAGCGAGGGATACTCCTATCCAAAACCGGCGATCGCCTTCAACTACTAGGTTCGTTGCCCGTCCCGCCCAGCACTAATTAATTGACGCGATTGCCTCTCCCGTGCCCATAGGAACTTGCGATATTGAATAATTGTAATTAACTATAATAATATTATTTAATATTTAATATTAATGATGTACCTGAGTCCGCGCCGGCGGGCTCTGCAATCGAATTTTAGTCATTAAAATATGTTTATGAAATCTACAACTGTGCGATTCTGCCGAAATAAAACGAACGATGTCAATGCTACCAGTCCAGAGGCGACGACCTTTGGAACAGTTTCTTTTCAATTTCAAATAAACATTTAATTTAAGGAGTTCTTAGTAATAATTTTATGATATTCGATAAATTCATCTCTGGGATGAGCCATGTCTAAAATGTCATTAAACTTAATACTCAGTTCACTTTTCGTAGAGCAAGAAGATTTTGAAGAACATTCAAGAGGTATTAAAATTTTTTTTAAATTTAAATTAAATTTTTTTAAATTTAAATTAAATTAAATTTTAATTTAAAATTGACAAGATCAAAAGCTTGTCAATTAAAACATTATTTTAGAATGAAACAAAAACTTCTCCAGAATCAAAGATTCCGTTTTGTAACTATTTTAAGCCCCGAATCGATTTTAAAGCAAAATGTGGGCTTTAATATTTCAAATATTTTAGTTAATTTTTTATCGGAACTCATTACCGAATTTCGGAGTTTTAAGATAGATTTCTATGTCCCTTGTGAGCATATATCAAGAAGCATTACAGATCCTTCTCATAAAATATCGAAAATGCGATGGTGCATGACATTTTTTTCTAACAAATTAAATATTGTTTTCAGAAATGCAACTAGCAGAATCAATCATTCCAAGAAGCATAAATAATTATAATATTCTCACAATTTTGATGTACTATAATTTAAATAAAGCTTGTTAGAGTATACTTTTAGGTGGATACAAGAAATGCACCCAAAAGTATGCTAGATATTTCTGACATTGTCGCAGAACTACCTTTAATAGATTTTACCTGTAGATTTATTGTGAATGCTTTTTATATAGGTGTAAAAATGTATTTTGGATTATTCACAGGTTTCCCAAGACAGATGCTAATTGGAATTGAATTGGAAATATTAAAAACAAAGATCGAAAGCAAAGTCGGTAAGAATTTGAATAACAACTTAATATTTGATCGACCGATCGCCATTGATCCTATGTTAATTATATGATAAAATCATATTAGAACACGTCCAATTCAAGTGTAGCTGAGAAATTCTGATAAGCAAAAGCTTTCCATAATAGAACCTAATTTTTGATATGATATGATATGTAACTGTGTTCCGATCCGGCTAAATCCTAACGGATCATAAATATATTTGAATGAAAAAGATTGATTTCTCATAAATATTCCTATGAATTTTCGAGCTAGGAGAATATATTTCCCTTTAAAGCCTCGAGGTAGATAATTGAAAACAAGTTGGTAAATCGTTTTAAAGGCATTTCTTTATTAATTGCGTTCCCTGACAATTGCCAGACAAATCATAAAATTCAACTTTTCAGTTAAAGTTAACATTGGGATTTGCTGGTATTGCTTTGGGAGCCTCGATAGCGTTCCATTTAGTATCTGCGGCGACGGATGACGCGACGGTGGGTCTTGTAACGGTAGCCATCCGAAGAGGAGAAGCTGTGGGCTGGTGCCGGCTCAGAGGCAGCGGACTCGTAGCTCTCGACAGCGGGTGCGCTGTACGACTGAACGGGTGCCGAGTAGGATTGAGCGGGAGCCGAGTATGACTGAACGGGAGCCGAGTAGGACTGGACTGGAGCCGAGGCGGCGGCAGTGTAGACTGGAGCTGGAGCCGAAGCTGCTGGGGGCAGATACTCGCTGGTTGGAGCAGAGGCAGCAGCCTGCACAGGGGGCAGGTAATCGTTGGAGGGCAGGTGGCTCACATCACGACGGTGGCGACGGTAGACGACGCGACGGTGGGTCTTGTAGCGGTAACCATCCGAAGACGAGAAGCTGTGGGCTGGTGCTGGCTCAGAGGCAGCGGTCTCGTAGCTCTCGGCAACGGCAGCGGGTGCGCTGTAGCTCTGGACTGGAGCCGAGGCGGCGGCCGTGTAGCTCTCAACGGCAGCGGGAGCTGCGTAGCTCTGAACTGGAGCAGAGGCAGCGGCGGTGTAGACTGGAGCTGGAGCCGAGTAGGACGGGGCAGGAGCTGCGTACGACTGAACTGGAGCCGAGGCGGCAGCGGTGTATACTGGAGCTGGAGCCGAGTAGGATTGAGCAGGAGCTGCGTAGGACTGAACTGGAGCCGAGGCGGCAGCGGTGTAGACTGGAGCCGGAGCCGAGTAGGACTGGGCAGGAGCCGAGTACGATTGGCTGGCGAAGCTCTGGACTGGAGCCGAAGCAGCTGTCTCGTAGCTGGGGGCAGCGTAGGAGGCAACCGGCGCGGAGGCAGCACCACGGTTGGGTGGCAGATACTGGTTGCTGGGCAGATGGCTGACATCCGCGGCAACGGCGGCGACGAGGGCACAGATAAGCAACAGTTTCTGCAATAGAGAGAGATAATTAAAAGCAATAGGTAAGTTGTGAGTGTGTGGGTTGAGTGAGCCTCCGAAGGATCTGGGTTTCTGTACCATTTTGCTAGCTTGCTTCTGTAGAATCCAAGAAGAAATGATGCTGTTGCCAGGCTTGTGGCGCATATTTATATGTTTCTAATCGTTGCGCCTGTGCTGCCAAAATTAGCATTTGGCTTTGCATTAAATTAATGTATTTTGCATTTATCTAAAACCAAGCAAAAAAAAAAACAAGAAGACATCGCCGCAAAATAAATCTATTATAGTTTTTTTCATCTTCAATCAGGTTTAATACAAGTTTTTCGCTCTACACTTAAAATACATATCTAAATATATTTATTTTTTTGTATTTGCAGCGAATCAATTGGTCGGTTACCCCCGATCCCCGATGGAATATGGACGGGGTATATTAATATTGATGTCCGCATCCACTTGCAGCTCGTGCTTTAATTACCATCCAAACTGGCCACAAAATAATCCGTTCTAATTAGCATTGGCCGCGAGCTGGTTTATTTTTTTGTGCCTTCCTTTCGCCGCGCTTACCAAATTTCTCTCATCTTAGCGCGTGCCGCCTTTTTAGTTAATTAACTTGTAATTAGTTTTCAGTATAATTCGATTATTGCTCAATTTACATAATGCCGAAGACGAGCATGCGTAGTCGAGCCAAATCTCTACCAGACCAGACACTTTGGCAGACAGTGCCTCAAAAAAGTATTGCATAACCCAAGGCGGACAGTTGAAACTAACTCTCAGGCAAACTTGTTTTGATTCAAAGGTAAATCTAAACGAAACAGCACATATTTTTTATCAATCAATCCATTAAATATATCAATGAGTTTGTCCTGATTGATTGACTGAATGACTGACTGATTGACTGACTGATTGATGATCAACGAGCAGCCTTACCCAGAGGAGCGAGGACCTCCTCGCCTGATCCTTTGGGTCGAATGTGAGAAATTAGACTGGGATTGGAATAATGGAGACTACTAGGGTATGAAAAACATCATCAAACAACAACAACACAGTCAAGAGTTTATGTAGCTTTAGTTTTTGAGCGTCGAACTAGCAAACGAGAGTTCGCTGGTTCAAATTCAGCATATTTTATTTGTCTACTTAACTTGTTAATATTCAATGGGAATTTGAATGGGAATCAATATTAAATACAATTTGTACGGTGCTGACTTATGTATTCTTTTGCAGATCCCCAAAGTGGACCCCCAAGAAGACGGAAGAAGAAAGGAAGGAAGGATGGAAGGAAGGAAGGAAGGAAGGAAGGAAGGAAGGAAGGAAGGAAGGAAGGAAGGAAGGACGGAAGGAAGGAAGGAAGGAAGGAAGGAAGGAAGGAAGGAAGGAATATAATATGTGAGGAGGAAAACCAAGTCTCTTCCTTACATTTTGAGAGGAGTTGCAACTGTCTAATGAATATGAACCAGAAAACGCCGGTAAGTTCTCTTCTAATCAAAAATATTAATAAAACATTAAAAAATGATTCCATTTAGGAAGTTCGTGTATCCGAAGCAGAAGACCAAGCGACCTTCCAGAACATCGATAAAGAGAAGCTGACGACTGATAATGGAAGACATCAGGAATTCATCTTCTTTTCGTTTTGTTGAAATTTGACGAGCATGGGTAAGTTAAAAAAAATATATATATAATAAGTGATTTTGCTCCAATAATAAGTAAATCGAATTAGAATTAGTTGAAGCTTTTATGTTTTCGTTATATTTTTATTTCGTGAACGAAAAGAGGAAATATTCTTATGTATATTAAACTTGCACTCCAAAATGAGTACAAGTTGATCACTTAGTGAATCATTTCAGATGAGGGTTTAATGACGACGACGGAAGACGACACGACGCTGGGTCTTGTAGCGGTATCCATCATCAGCAAGGCTGCCCTGGCCGACCTGGGCGTAGCTGGCCTCATTGGCAACTGGAGCCAAGTATTCGTTGCTGGGAGCGGCGATGACTTGAGCCTCCTGCTGCACGGGGGGCAGGTATTCGTTGGAGGGCAGCTCGTTCACATCACGACGGTGACGACGGAGAACAACGCGACGGTGGGTCTTGTAACGGTAGCCATCATCGGCAAGGCTGCCCTGGCCGACCTGGGCGTAGCTAGCCTCATTGGCAACTGGAGCCAAGTACTCGTTGCTGGGAGCAGCGACGGTCTGGAAATCCTGCTGCACGGGGGGCAGGTACTCGTTGGAAGGCAGCTCGTTCACATCACGACGGTGGCGACGGAGGACCACACGACGGTGGGTCTTGTAACGGTAGCCATCATCGGCAAGGTTGCCCTGGCCGACCTGGGCGTAGCTGGCCTCATTGGCAACTGGAGCCAAGTATTCGTTGCTGGGAGCGGCAATGACTTGGGCTTCCTGCTGCACGGGGGGCAGGTACTCGTTGGAGGGCAGCTCGTTCACATCACGACGGTGGCGACGGAGGACCACACGACGGTGGGTCCTGTAGCGGTAACCATCATCGGCAAGACCGCCCTGCTGAACACCGGAGTATTCATCAACGCCGTTGGAGACGGGGGGCAGGTATTCGCTGGTGGGACCGGCGACGATCTGGGCATCCTGCTGCACAGGGGGCAAGTACTCGCTGGTGGGCAGATGGCTGACATCACGACGATGGCGACGGTAGACAACGCGACGGTGGGTCTTGTAGCGGTATCCATCATCGGCCAGCTCATGAGCGGGAGCAGCCTCCTTAATTGGAGCGGATATGGCAATGGGAGCTGGGGCAGCATACTGGACTGGAGCGGGAGCTGGGGCAGCAAACTGGACTGGAGCGGGAGCTGGGGCAGCAAACTGGATGGGAGCTGGGGCAGCAGCCTGGACGGGTGGCAGGTACTCGTTGGATGGAGCTGGGGCAGAGACCTGGACAGGGGGCAGGTACTCGTTGGAAGGCAGATGGCTCACATCACGACGGTTGCGACGGTAGACGACGCGACGGTGGGTCTTGTAGCGGTATCCATCATCAGCAAGGCTGCCCTGGCCGACCTGGGCGTAGCTGGCCTCATTGGCAACTGGAGCCAGGTACTCGTTGCTGGGAGCGGCGATGACCTGGGCCTCCTCCTGCACAGGGGGCAGGTAGTCGTTGGATGGCAGCTCGTTCACATCACGACGGTTGCGGCGGACCACAACGCGACGCTGGGTCTTGTAGCGGTATCCATCGGCGGCAAGATCGCCCTGGCCAACCTGGGCGTAGCTGGCCTCATTGGCAACTGGAGCCAGGTACTCGTTGCTGGGAGCAGCGACGGTCTGGAAATCCTGCTGCACGGGCGGCAGGTACTCGTTGGTGGGCAGATGGCTGACATCAGCAGCGACAGCTGCGATCACCGCGAAAGCAACCAGGAAAAGTTTCTGTAAAGCAGATGCGAGAGATTGATTAGTTAGAGATTTGGACTATATTCCTTAGATGCCCAATGATGATCTTGATGATGATCTTGATGGGAGGCTGTGCTCGGAAGTCTTAGCGTACCATCTTGACTGCTTGAGTTTGCTTGTTCACACCAGTTAAACCGAAACTCTAATGAAGAAATACGCAGAACCTTTTGGTATTTATACAAATTCTTCTCTCTTGGCCCGCTTATTACAGAGCGGCCAGCGGCTCTTCCCTGCATTCGGCGTCGCAGTCGCCGTCGCCGTCGCAGTCGCAGTTGACGTCGGCATCGCCTCTGTAAATTCGCACGGCCTGCACGAGTTCTAAGCCACTCCAATGGCTCCAATTAACTGAGCACACTCGGATGGCGACTTGGCCAACTCGCTCAGCGTCAAGCGTGAAGCGCGACTGCGACTGCGAAGTCGACAGCGGCAGCGACGTCGACGCCAACGCTTACATTCGCACAATAAGCTAAGCCAATTCGCTCGAACAGATTCTCTTAATTGTTTTCTTTAATCTTATGCAAAACATTTGATGGACAACACACACACGCACACACACACACACACACACACAAAGACCTAGCTCTCGTCTACAATAGAAAAGATTTGATTTGATTTTTGGTTTTAATTTTTTTTTCATTGGTTTTTTTTTTGGGGGCTTTTCATTCAAGCCGTCAAAACGCGCTCGGGTTTAATTCGAAATGTGCTCCAATAAAAGTCGCCCATTGGATCAATATAATATATATATACAGATATATACAGATGTTCGAGTACTTATTATGAACATATGTTGTGTTTATTGTGCCTTGGGTTATTGTTGTTATTGTTGTTCGTGTCGTCGCCGTTCATCATTAATCATTGAAAGGAACTGGCATTCAATTCAATTCAGAAAAGATGTTCATAATGATGGCATATTTCATTTTGGTTTATCTAGTGCGTAAATTAAATGCCGGATATAATACGTTGATATTAGCCGCACGCTTGCATATATTTTCCGACATATTCACACTTTGACAATATGTTAAAATTGTAAATAATAATATAATACCGAATACCATTTTCAAAAGCCCAATCAAAGTTGTGCCACATTGGCAAAACCCCTTCGAATTGCCCGCTCGCTTTCAAATCTTTTGCAAGTTTTCTTAATTTGCTGACAATTCTTATCTACAATCTAACTACGAATCTTGAAATAAAATAAACTCTAATAAATTAAGATAAAAAACTAAGCGCATCTGCCACGAAGAAGTGTGTACACTGAGCGAAACATACTGCATTTTGCGCTATGGTCATTCTGCCAAGGGTCATTCGAAAGGAAGAATCTTAAAATCTTAAAAATTTTCTTATTTTATTGAGATCACTTTGCGCTTCCTTAAAGTATTTTGTACTTAATTCAAGGCATTTCTTCTTCTAATATAAATTCTATACTGAAATCAAAGATAAATAATACTTAATAATAATAATGCTTTATTAATACTACTTTATCAAATTTTATATTCATTATATTTTTCTATTGAATTTTTCTCGGTGTATATTTAATCACAGTTCTTTTTATATCCTTAATATTATGTATTTATTTCAAATAATTTCTATTTCTAGTCTTACATTCAATATTGAACATTTCTCTGTGCTTATTCAATCTGAGCAAATTTCTTATATTTTTTTTATTTTGTACTTATTCAAGCTATTTTTTAAAGCTTTACGTTCAATATTGAAGTCAAGGATAACTTATGCGGAATTTAAGAATCTTCCAGAACAATATTAAGTTAAAATTTGAAGAGCAATATTTTGTGTTATGGTCGCTTTTCTCTGCGTACAATTAATCTGAGAAATTTCCTTAATTCTTAAGGTATAATTAACTTAATTCAAGTTATGTCTTTTAGTAGATTTACACTCAAAATTGACACCGAGGACAACCACTACCGAATTCGAAAATCTACAAGAACAAAATTCATATTGATTGGCAGTCGATTTTCTCTGTGTGTATATAACTCAATCTGAGCAGATTAACTTCCTCTGCAGCAGCTGCTGAACTATTGGCATGATTAATGATCTGTGCAAATCGAACATGAAAAGGAATTGCAAACATTTAGTGCTATGTGTTAGCTAAACTCAATGCTAAACTGTGCCAACTCGCATCAGGCTCGTTAGTGGCGCCAAGAACTAATTGGTTCCGTGCGATTGAAGGATGGGGGAAGACCAAAATAGCATCCGCTCCGATGTTATTGATTCTGAGAATTACGCCAGCCAACAGGTATATAATGATCATAATTAAAATACAAATAATTAAAACTTTAAGTGAAGGCTAGAGTACTTGAGGCCTTGATCTTGAGTGGGTGGCATTGCCACGTGATCATTTTTTGGACTCCATTCGTTGATGTTTTTAATTTTTTTTTTGTGAGCTAAAATACAAGTTCGGCTAATTGACTTGTGCTATAAACCAAATGTGCTGGCCATCATAAATTTACATTTATTTTCAATGCATTCACACACATATCAAGAATTAGAGTTCTTGTTTTCGCATAAAACAAAGCCAAACAATATAAAAATACAAATACGAAATTTGATTTCCTGTATGCGTGCAACATTTAAAAAGTGCCAGCTCTCAATTGATGTCTCGGCTAATTTACAATCTATCGGAGCTCATTTACTAGTCTACTTTATGTGCGGCTATTCAATTTTATTCGAAACTACTTTTTTCTTTTTCCTTTTTTTATACCCTGAAAATGGATAAAAAGGGGTATTATGTATTTGTGCAAATGTATGTAACAGGCAGAAGGAAGCATCTCCGACTCCATAAAGTATATATATATATTTTTGATCAGCATCAATAGCCGAGTTGATCTAGCTATGTCCGTCTGTCTTTCCGTCTGTCTTTCCGTCTGTCCATCCGTCTGTCTGTCCGTCCGTCTGTCTGTATGAACGCAAGGATCTCGGAACCTGTAAGAGCTAGAGACTTCAAATTTTAGCTGTAGGTCCTCCTAGTGCCCGCGCAGATCGAGTTTGCTTCCGATATTCGATAACTTGCCCCATTTTCAAGTTATCGATACAAATCGATATCGCCAATCTATCGCCTGTTGGAAGAACAGAGTTCAGGGTATCCCCTAGTCGGGAGCTACCGACTAGAACCTTTTACTTGTTTTCTATTTCGATTTATATTTTATTGTGTTGTGCTCGGTTCTATTCTAGCCAAATCTAGTACTGGTTCAGTTGGCCGTAAATGTTGCGACCAGCCCGATGCTGGACAATAGATCAACGTCGGTAATTATTATGGCGCGGAGTTGTCTCTCATTCGGCAGCAGCCCGATGAGCCGGTCCAAGCACTTAAAAGTGCCATTTCGGAATTAATGCTTATGCTGAAATGGCATAAATATGCAAATTAGTGAATGGCAGTTTTCGGCTCGTCCCGCCGAATCGCACAGAATCGAGAACACACAAAATAATAATACAAAAGCCATCATAATGCCCATTAAACATAAAATGGCAAGCCAAAAAAGTCAAAAAAGTCGAAAGAAATAGACAAAAAAACAAAAAAAAACGTGTGTGCACATATTAACTTGTCCAGCTCCAGCTCCAGCTTAAATCAACGCATCCCATTAAAAGTATCTGAAAGGCGGCAGGGTACGTCAAACAGGGAACGATGCTAACTAATTCGCATTCAGGTAGGATTAAGCCGACCTTTGGCTACGCTTCAGTTAGCCAGAACTATATATACCCCAGCTTTTGGCAGAAGCGAAGCGCTCAGCTCAGCGACTGTTGCCAGGCCAGGCAAGGCATTATTTATGTTTTATTTTTACTTGGTCTTTCTTTCGGCGTCGTCGCTCTGTCTAACAGAAATCTGTTTGCCTAAATCTATGCAAATTCTATTTTAATTAATATTATTCGCATTGGTTTTAGCATTTCGAGTGGCAGCAACAGTCTCTTTTTCGTCGCTTCCTTCAAGCCACACTCACACGCGCGCCTTAATTTAGTTTTCTGATCGTATACCCTAACCAAAATGGGGGCTAACAGCTTTGGCCATGCCTTGCTGTTAATTAAGCATGTCTTGCTGCAATAATTCTGCAAATATCCAACAAATAGGCGGTACTTAATAATAATTTACACTTCAATTAAAAACCAGTTCTTAATCGATTCACTTAACATCTTCATTGCACGCTAACTGCGCTGTGACTTTAATAGAGTATACAAGTTTTGGGCTTTGTCTGGCTACCAGACAGAAAATGGCTTCTCTCACCTCTTAATATATATCTATATATATTCGATCTCATCTTCAATAGATGGGTTGAGATCTAGGCAGGTATTAAAGTATCTTAAAAACTATGAACTATCTTCTTATTCTAGATGAAGTTTATCTAAAATCAAGTAATCGATAAAAATCGATATCGTAATCCCATTTTTCTCTTTATCCCATCTCGAATCTTGCAAAGCTGAAGACAAGAAGTTTGGGATTTAGAGATACATTGTTGGGCTTTGGTATATATACACCTTAACGTGCCATATCTGATTCCTCAAAATCTCTTTTGGATCGGACTGTAAATACCGAAGTTACTCAAGAATGCATTTCCCCTGAAAAGTGTGTAGTAAAGGGAAGAAGAAGCACCTCCGCAGAAAAAATATCAATAGTTTATATCGTCAGCTCGACGCTGCTTTCAGGGTATCTGCTAGTCGTGCATGGCCGACTAGAGCGCGCTTAGTTATTTATTTTATTCTTTTTTGAAGTACACGTTTTAGTCTTTTATGATAAATTAAGCTTTTGTTTTAGATGCTCGTTTTTGGTTGTCTTTAATTTAAATGCATGATAAATCATTCGGGAAACCAGTTTTCTTTCTCGCTTCAAATATTGCGGCTGCGACTAGAAAGTGCCGACAGCGACATGGATCTCATCTGCGGAGCGAGAAAAAAATAGCCAAAAAATAAACTGACAAGAAAAAAAAGACAAATTCATAAATAGAATAATAATAATCGCGCACACTTCCAACACGCGGCTGGGTCATTAAAAATTCATACGCGTGGCACAAGAAATTTGGCAAGTTCCTTTCAAATTGCTATTTTTTTTGTTTTGGCCCAATACTGAGCCAGGGGAGGGCTAGCAGGGGGCCAGCAGGGGGGCCCGTTGGGATCTCAAGTGTGAACGAGGCATCCAATTGTGCGTCTGCAATTGCCTGAGCAGAACGAATTAATCACTTGGCCATCGAATGTTGAGGTTCTTTCTATGTTTGGGCCATGACGTAAGCCGAGGGCAGCCCTTTTGGCCAGTTCCCACAGCCAACTTACAAGCTTACAATACAAATAATAAAAACGAGAAAGAAGTGCTATCTTCGGCACGCCGAAGATTTAATACCCTTGCAGACCGAACTTTTTTATACTACTCATAATGCTTTGACCACATCGAAGAAGCACTGGGAATATATAATAGTTAATGCCGAGTATGGTTAAGATATCTTGAAAAACAAAGAGTTTTTCATTCAACAACTTAATTTTCGGCCGATCGTTCCTATGGCAGCTATATGCTATAGTAATCCGATCCAGCCGATTCCGATATATGTACTGCGTGCAACAGAAAGAGGGACTTCTGCAAAGTTTAAAACTGAGAGACTAGAAACAGACAGATGAACAGACGGACAGACGCTATATCGACTCGGCTGTTGACTCTGATCGACACACATTTAACGACAACATTATTATACCCCCCGCAAGGGTATATAGCAAAATATTAAACGATGTGCCAATTAAGCGGGGCGTGCTCAATTACCGAGGCATAGTAGAAATGGCAGCCGGCGGCGGATCATTGAACTCTCTGGCCGACGCTTGATCTCGAGCCGCACTCGCTTTGCATAGCTTAAAAAATAAATAAATAAAATAGATATAAAATATACTTAAGGGAAAAAAGGTAAAAATTCGCACACACCATAATAGAAATATGTATATAACGCAAAGGCAAAGTAAATTTATGCAGAGAATTATACCCAGCTGGATTCTTACCCCCTCCCATAAATTAAATTAAATTAAGCTTTGTTCACTTAATTTCAGCTGCATTTACCAAAAAATACACTCAGATTTATGGGAGCTCTTTCCTCTTCATAATTAGAAATTCGCCCTGCCAGAGGTCAGCTACCCAAGAGATCGGCTCAGATAAATATCTAAGCCAAGCTAATGAACCACTCTGCATATGTAATGCTTGCCACAGTTACTGCCACAGCTACTGCTACTGCTGCTGCTACTGCTGCTTTTACTGCTACTGCTACTGCTGCTGTTACTGCTGACCTACAGCATCGATGGAGACCTGAGCAGACAATGAGCGGCCCCGCCCGACTATGATTTGGCAGCTAGCTGGCAGAAAATAAATATTACTTTGAATACATTGTTTGCGGGCCCGCCTTAGTTTACCTATAGCTATATATCTATATAGACTTTGGGTATCTTACATTATGTTGGCATAATGGCAGCCCACGTCAGCGCTGCGTTTTATTTCAACTGTTTTGTGGTCTTTTCTTTAAACAGTCGATTGCCTAGATTTTATTTATTTTTGGTCATATGCACATATATGTTATGTATATATATTTATTTCTATTTATTTATTTTATTTTTGGCTTGTTGAATTTGCATGAGAATCGTGTCTAAATGAACGCATTAATTTATGCTGGCAATTGGCTTTGTGTGCTCATCTTCCTTTCTATTGTGTCCAAAAACTTGCATGACCTGTGTGTATCTATTTCCATTGAGCTGCAAATGTGTGCGTGGCTCTGAACTAGTTTCCTACCCAAACATATCTACAGTCTGACGTTTATCGCTTTTTTCTTGAAGCGACGAGTAAATTTAAAGAGTTGCTAAAACTATGGATGCACAACTATCAAAAGTTTCTGGCTGGTTCACGATTCGGCTCGGCTTATGATGCATTGTGAATTCGTGAATTGGCCAAGTTTATAAAATAAAGGGCCAAAAACAGTTCGAACTAACCAACTTCTTTAAGCTTTCCTAGGTAGCTGCTCTAGATTTTCTTCAATTTTGATCAAAGTCTTGGTTCAAGCCTTGGTTTTTTTAAATATTGATGAAATAATTTATTTATATTTTTTTATATATTTTTAGAAACCCGGGCAACTATCGAAATACCATAGGCGCAAAAGACAGCGACCTTTCAAACCATTTAATAACTTCATAATTATCAGGTATAATTAAACAAATATTCATTTTTTAATTCATAATTGCCCGCTCTCTTGAAAATATTGCAAGCCATAGATATTTTCATACAGAACTGAAGGGCTAGATTTGCGTTGCATTCAAAATTGTCATCCATCCAATATGGTTAGATAATTCGAATGTTTAGGCTCTAAGTTATTTGCATTGGGACTAAGTCACACCTTAGTTCTTTATTCTAAGCCAATCTATTTTAGAAAAACATAGCTTCGGTTCGGTCTTAAGTTCAGCTGATTTTTTGTTTATTAGTTCGCTTTATGGTTCGGTTCGGCTTAGTCCCGTTTGCAGCCTTGATTAATACTCTCTTTAACCAATTCAATCAATATTTATCAGAGACTATTAAAACGTGGCCAGCAACAACTAATTAAATTTGCTCTCCAAATGTTATGCAGTCCAGTGTAAAGCTCTGTTAAAAAGCTCAAGCTAGCAAGTATGAGCGAAACTAGGCTAGCAGCGAGCTTTTAAGCTGAGCTCCGCTCAAGCGGAAACGGAACTTAAATTTGCCCGCGCCGCCCAAAAGTAGGCAACAATATTTTAAATTTTAATGTGTGCTCTTTCAGCAATTGCCATGATATATTTTTAAATACATATACATAATTGAGAAGTCAAACGGAATCGTGGGCTCTCATTTGGTGTGCCTGGGATTCCGGTAGTGATAGCCATCCTCGCGATACTCCGAGGCAGCCGTTTCGTGGTCCAAGCTGGCGCTGCTCTGGCTGCCCTGGCTGCCCTTCTGGCGAGATCGTCTATGCTCGGGCGCTGCGTAGCTCAGCTCGGGCGAGCTGGCTGCAATGCCAATGTCTGTGGCCTCGTCATCGTCGTAATAGTCGCCATCGGCTAGGAACACGCTGCGCTGATTGCCATTCACCCTGATTAGACGACTTTGATACGCCGGATAGCTAGAATAGAAGTTGCCATCGATGATGTTTGTGTCCTGCTGATTGCCCACTGCATTTGTGGGTCCCTGCAGAGCTGGCTGGCCAAACACATTGCCCCGCACCACATTGAGGCCTTGGTAGTTGGAGCGACTGCGTTGACGTCCACTGCGCCGGCGACCATTGAAGCGTGCCACAGCTGCAGCCTGATTTGGATTGCCATTTCCTGCTGCTTGAGCCGAGGCGGGCAGCTGGCCACCGAGTGCTGGATCGAAGGGCTGTGCTCCTGCTGCCAGCTGGCCGCCCAAAACGGGATTCGCATTGCCCACAGCTGGCGCCTGTCCTCCAGCAGGAGCTCCATTTGGACCAGCTGGCGCCTGTCCTCCAGCAGGAGCTCCATTTGGACCAGCTGGCGCCTGTCCAGCGCCAAGCTGTTCGCCCAAAAATGGACCAAATTGATTTGCATTGCCGTTGCCTGCAGGCTGAGCCGCGGCGGGCAGTTGGCCGCCAAATGCTGGATCAATTTGGATCAGCACAGAGCCGGGTCGCTGAACAACCCCTCCAACCTGCCCCCTTACCAATGGAGCCTGTCCGCCAACAGCCAGCTGACCTCCAACTGCCGGTATGAACAGATTCTGATTGCCAAATCCTTGCAAGGCGCCGCCATTTTGATTGCCAGCTGCCAGCTGAGCGCCCTGCGAGGGATCTATAAAGAGATTGTTGCCGTTGCCCAGATTGTTGGGCCCATTGCCGCCCGCTGCCAGGCCAAGGGCGGGCAATTGTCCGCCACCAGCTGGCAGTCCAGCATTGGCTGGGAATTGTCCACCAGCTGGCAGTCCAGCATTGGCGGGCAACTGGCCACCAGCTGGCAGTCCACCATTGGCGGGCAACTGGCCGCCAATTGGCAGTCCACCATTGGCGGGCAACTGGCCGCCAATTGGGAGAGCATCGGCGCCCAACTGAGCGCCAGCTGGATCAACCACGCGGCAGCCAATGGGCGGATTGCCAGCAACTGGCGACTGGCAGTTGGGCAAAGCCGTGACGGGCAGCTGGGCGCCTGCATTGGCAGGCAGTTGGGCACCTGGCACAACTGGATCTGTTCGGATCTGTGAGCTCAGCTCGGAGTCCTGGGACTGCACATTGATCTGTGTGTGGAACACGGAATTCGGCGCACTCGCATAGAGCACGCGATTGGGACGCCGACGTCGCGTGACAATCTGGGAAGGAGCCGAAGTCAAGATCTCAGCGGTGCGCAGCTGTGGTGCGACCTGCTGGTAGTGTATGTGCTTGGTCTTCAGCGCGGGCTGCTTGTCGTAGTGATGGTAATGATCGATGCGTTTGGGCTCGTGATGCTCGTCGCCTTTGTGGTAGACCACGTGCTCGCTGGTGTGCTTGTCCTTGCGGAAAAAGGGCTTCAGTGCGTGCTCCTCCGGCGGCAGATAGTGCTGATCCTCATCGTCCTCGTACTCCCGATGGTGTCTGTGATGCGTCGATGGCGCCACCTCCGACAGCCAACCGATCGCCAGCAGGCACAGCAACAGGCTTCTGAACAGCTCCTGTGAAAAGAATTAATGGCTCGTCTAGATTCTCGAAAATGGGTATTCCATGCTGTGCTTACCATGGCATCTGTGCTCATCTGGGCATCTCCACTTCAATTATATACCAAAGCTCTGTCGACTTTTGTGGAATTGCATTGCACTTCCAAATGGGCGGAATTTCCGTGGTGGAACCTGTTGTCGAGCGTGAGAAATTCGTCAGGCACTTTTTGTGACCCATTTGTCGTATTGAATACTCGCAATTAAAATACAAATGTCGCTTCTAAGACAAAGCCTTTGGCTGGCGCAATTTATGGAGCAAATCGAACTGAACTGAATCAGAGGTTGTTAACATGCTTGCAAATAAAATACGACACTCTACGAAAGAAATTAGTGCACCTTTTAGAAGCAACCAAATGGTAAACCCAATCCATAAATGTAAGGGAGGTTTATATGTTAACAGGAGCTTCCTCTTGGGTGGAAAGCGAGTAGAAAGATGGGGTCAGCTGTGATCATAACAGAAGCTTCCTCTTGGGTGGTAAGGAAGTAGAAAGGAGTCATAAGACAAAGATCAGCCTGTGTGTGAAACTTACGAGTGTGCGCGTCGGACTAGCAAGCGAGAGGACGCTGGTTCAAATGAAGAATACATTTTCAATATTCATATTTAATCCATTTGTCATTATTCACAAGCAAAAGCAACAAAGAAATTGAAAATGAGTGGCAATTAACAAAAATAGCTTATAAGTAACTTCTTTTAGTGCATAATATCATGCCCTTCCACCCAGTATTTAATAGGTATTTATTTTATAATCGGGTTATACTTTTTATTGCATATATTCTTTTAAATCCTTGTGCGATTTAGGCGCGATGCCTGTAGACGCGGCGACGCACAGTTCTGTACTCGTAGCCGGAGTGAGCGACTGCAGGAGCAGGACCTGAAGCAGAAGCAGCTGCTTCATAGTTGGAATCCGAGGAATCGGCAGCTTGGAAACTCTGAGCTGGGGCGGCAAAGGATTGCACAGGAGCAGAAGCAGCAGCATGATGCTGGACGGGAGCTGGCGCAGCAACGTGAACTGGGACAGGAGCTGGGCGAGCAGCCTGTGGAGCAGGTGGCACATATGTCTGAACGGGAGCAGGAGCTGACTCAGCTGGAGCAAAAGACTGAGCGGGAGCAGAGGCAGCTGCATGATGGGCAACAGGAGCAGGAGCTGGCGGCACATAAGTTCTGGTCGGAGCTGGAGCGGACGCAGCAGCATGGAAGACTGAAGCAGGAGCAGGAGCAGGAGCAGGAGCTGGAGCTGGAGCTGGAGCAGAGGCAGCAGCCGCATATTGATGAGCCTGAGGTGCCACATAGGACTTCACTGGAGCTGGAGCAGAGGCAGCCACAGAGGAACCGGGAGCTGCGTAATTGTAGCCCGCCTCGGCGGCGACGCAACCCACCAAAGCCAGAGCCAGGACAAAGTGCTGCTGCAGGGATAATCGATAGTCTGTGGTGAGCTTAAAGTCCAGAGTAAGTCCATTAAATACTAACCATATTTGAAGATCTGTCTGCTGTTGGGACAATTTAGCGAATAATAACTAATAAGCAGCCGAGCATTACTTTTATACACGGGCTTTCGGCGAACGGAAGCAATGCACATCATCAATCAAAGCAGAGGCTAAATGATTTTCTACTCCATTAAATTTGGCACACAAATATTTGCCAAATTATCCACTAGCCTTTAAAGTATTCCTCATTCATTAACCACACGACTCTCAAATATTCCTCATTCATTATCCGCTAGACTCTCAAATATTCCTCATTCATTGCTGTCAGTCGTAATTGGAAGTGCAAGTCATGAATATTTATAGCTCAAACCTGATTGCACTACCGAGCACTTAACGCATTTCATTCACCCACTCAAAAAGGGATCAAAAGGGGGTCAATTGTTTTTTTGCAAATTTATGTAACAGTCAGAGGAATGCCTCCTTTATATCCTTTAGATCAGGTAGAGTATTCTTTATCAGGATGATAAACTGATCCAGATATTTCCGTCTGTCCGTCTGTGTCAACCCGTCCATCTTTTTTATATCTACAAAATGAAGAGACTTGGAATATTTTCTAAATATTTATTATTGTATATCATAAGCAGAACGAGTTTATATCTTGTTTGTCTCTACATCTAAAGCTATTTTAGAATAACAATAAGAGTCTTTTTAGATATCCTGATATACTATGTATAGCTCCTATAATTTTTGATGACCTACCTGAGTCTTAAGCTTAAGTATTTACACACACTCGGATGTCAGATAATGTGAGACCCAGGGACGAAGAGCTCCTGGCGCCTTCTTTAGGGTATCCGGCTAGTCGGACACTCCCGACTAGAGCACTCTTACTTTTCAATAGCAAGCTACGTTGTTATTAATATCGATAATTAACTTTGTCGTGAACCAAGTGACATATAGCATACATATAGAATACGCCAATAAATCGAAGCGAAACGTTTATGCAAATTCCGCTAGAGCAATAGATTAATGTCCATTTCAGCTCGTACGATTCATTCATTTGTCAGAGTTTAACGACTGAAAAGCAAATTCTGTTGCAGCCATATGATTAGACAAAGGTTATTGTCTTCTTTACAAGACATCATATTTGGTTCGTTGTGGGCTGATTAAATTTATGTCTTTAACGAGATGGTTTTCTTGTTTCGTTTTGTGTTTTCTCTTTATTGGTAAAATGCTAATTAAGTTGAAATAATTCTGCATTTAAAGAACTCTTTTCGGTTCGATTAGCATTTGAATATATAGTTTGCGGTCGGTCTGGGTTAAACCGCAAACCAGTTGACGTTTCTGTCTGACGGAATATTTTCAGAATTGGCCACGCAAATCAATATCATATTGCTCGTCCAGGCCGGATGCAGCTGCCTGGGGCGGCAGATATGTGCGGGACAATGATGCATACTGTGGCTGCGACAAAATGGATACAGCTGGCCGTTGCACTGCAGCGGGCGGCAGGTAGACATTGAGGGGACGCACCACTTGCTGCACCACCGGACGCTGCACCACCAGCTGAGGTCGCGATATATATTGCGGCTGTGCGATCTGTACGGCGGGCGACAAGTATGTGCGCTCGGGTATCGATACCACACGGCTCACCTGGCGATAGGCAGCTGCAGGTGGCAGGTAGACATTCTGCGGACGCTGCACCAACAGCTGCGGCTGGGCAACGTATTGGGGTGGCAAGTAGGTTCTGCTCGGTATTGTGGCAGCGACGCTGCCCACCAACAACACGGCCATGGCCACAATTATCGAATGCTGCAAAAGGGGATAACATTCTAATATAAAATAGCTGCCAAAATTGAGAAGAGCTCTCAAGACTCACCATGTTGCTTGCTCAAAGTGCAATAATTAAATCGTTTCAAGACTCTGGAATGTTTTCATATTTATAAGACAGCTGCCCAAACCCAAATCGGGTGTACTTAGTATATATTATGACATAGCCACAACAAACACGGCCCATAAAATTAGTTTTAATCGCATTTCAAGAAAGAACAGACATCTCGGCACACCAAAGATTAAATACCCTTACGTGCTTAGGACTTTTCAAATATGGATAATTGTGAAGCTTGCTTTTGCTGAGCTTGAAAAACTCACAGACGAACCTGTCTATATTGACAATATATATACTTTATAGAGAATCTATATACTTTATTGCATAATATATATATTTACTTTATAGAGTCAGCAATTCCTCCCTCTAAGCGTTACACACTTCATCGCAACACTGTAATACTCTCCAAAAGGGTAGAAGCAGCTCGGACAAGTCAATCGAAGCCATAAAATATAACTGTTCATTTATAATGTATATACTTTATAAATATTCTCTTATTGTCGTATTGATATTCTTTCACTGTAGCGCTTGCAATTTATTCTAAAAATTGGGATACGTCTCATTGTTGTTCAAAATTAATCGCCAGGCAGAACATAAATTGAAACCTGTTAAGTGTCTAACAGCGCCAGTTAACAGCCTTAGCAGAGTCACAAACCTCTGAATGTTAACTACCTGGCAGAGCTGTTAAGTGCATGTTAAATTTGTAGTTGAGAATTTATATGCGGCGTATACGTGATGTGCTGTATTTGTTTGTCTAGCCTGGCTAGATTTTTATTACGATTAAATTATTAGTGTCTGGTCTGATATTTTATTGGTTTTTATCAGAATTTGCAAATAACTTTGGTGTATTTTCTTGTATAGTTTGTAAATTGGCTGTTTAGTTTGATTCGAAGCTCGTTTTTGTTATCGACAACATTCTTTGGACAAGCTTTGATTGGGCAAACAGAACAAGAATCTTTTCTAATCATGCCTTAGAATATAAATTTATGCACATTTAATACTTGAAAATTCACAAAACTAATAGAACCGGTTGCATTGAATAGATGCTTTGTATTAAATGTGCTTCTACTAATTTTTGTTTCTTTAGAGCGTGGTTTTAGCTTGGTTTCGTTTCGTTTCGTTCTGACAGCGCTCTGCCAATCCAGCTCTATTTCAGGCGCTGACACAAGTCGCAGGCATTTGCATTACCATTTTTGGATATAGGCTTTACATATAGAGATATATATACATATATACAAGATATTGGGATGTCTATATGTGCTGGTGCTTCTGTTCATTTGTACAATTGTCACACCCATAAATAATTATACACTTATTCGATTTTAACTTATATTAATTTATTGTTAACAGCTTCAAACTCGTTTCATTTGTTTGGCATTTAATGTGCCGCTGCCTAATTAAAATAAGCGAATTTTTAATCTTTTCGATGAAGTAATCGAATTTGAATCGAATTTGAATATAGACTACAGTCCAGAATTAGCTTCCATTTAAATGCCGGAAATTCACAGATCGAATTAATACAGTTAACGGACGGCCAAACGCGATTGTTTTCGGCCAAGAAGATGATATCAAAGTTGGGGCCAGGAAAGCAAAAGTGATTGAGCTATGATGAGTAAACCCCCTCAGGGTCGGTCAGTCTCGGGTTTCCAGTGTGATTAACCGTTAAGCATGAGCTCTGCTGACAAATTGCTGATCAAAGGCAAGAAGAAGATGAAGAAAAATATGTGCACAGACGAAGCTGTTTTAAATTATGATTAATTTCAAGAAGTCGGAATATTTCGATATAAGAAATTATGAAATTCAAAGAGTGTGTTTCGGTTCTCATAACTCTTTAGTCAGCTATGCGGGGGGAAATCCCAACTAAAACGTGTTCTATTTTAAGCCCAAAACCGGCAAGCTTTATTATGGGCAAATTTCGGCACTTAAAGCTAAGATACCCTGTAAAAGGCTGTCACATATTCACTGATGCATATCAGGTCAAAGCAGTTGGATGTACACGAGTCTAGATGCTGTGGAAAATGATGAGATAGAAATTTCACAACTTTTTATAATTTATTTTCCCATTTAACCCTAAGTGTAACATGTTGCGAGGTATTCAAAAAAAAATTACCAAACGTGTTTTTTGTTTAAGTCTTTCGTAAAACTGTATATTATGGAATACATTTAAATTTTTAATATTTTACACACAGCGAAAACTCTTCTAAAACCGAAATCGATGTAAAAAGAACTTTGGCTAAGTTAGAAATGAAATATGAATAATTTATATGATATGTTGCCTTAGTTCAATGCTCGCTTAGCATTGACTGCGGCTTGATTAGTCGCCGTCGACGTCAGCGGCCAGCATTAAGCTTGATGGCGATCCGCTAAGGCGATCCGAAGTTTTTGGCGAGGCCAATTCTAAGTTGAGTTAATTGCGTGCTAATCGAATAGCGAGCGCCCATTTATAGTATATGCGATCCAAGTAAACAATTGCCAAAAATTATGTACCCCTGGGCATTCATTAAGAGCTGCTGCAGCTGAGGCCCGCTTGTGGGTCAAAAGTGACACGGAAAGTGGCGCGCAGAGAGGTCGCTTTGGGGCGCTTCCTTTCAAACTGGTTTCACACTCCATATACACATGTGACCCACTGTTCACGCGCGCGAAGGTTGCCCAAAAGGCAACCAGTCCCAGGTCTGGACCTGCTTGTGAGTAATTGAGGGCCCAATTGCGTGTTCGATTACGAGAGCTTGGCGGAACTGACGCCTTCTCATGCAAATTGTCTCGTTGGATTCTCATAAATAAAACATCATATAAAATCTCGGGTCGGGGCGCATTTATATCGCTTTTGTGTTTCATTAATAGCCATAAAGTGGCAAATATTTTGGCTTTATATGTGCACGTCAGGGCAGCCTGAAAATAAAGAGCATCTCTGTTCGTAGCTATCGGTTTGGGGCGATAAATCTAACTGGAATATAGGCTTGAATATATGACAGTTTTATGGAGTTGTCTTCTATTATAAACTTCATGGTTTAGCATATTGTTTTCACATCAAATTATGTATAATTTAGCACACTTGCCCTTTTGGGTATATTTACACACTGCTTAATCAAAGCGGATTACAAATCGATTAAATTTGATCGATAATTGCTTATAATATTATGCATAGATTGGGATGTATCGATATTAGCATATAATATTAGGATTGGGTCTTAAATCATTTATCGATTGCCAAATATCGATAAATGCGTATACTATAACGATAAGATTGGAACCCATTGATCGATTAACAATTAGTCAAACTTATTTATCGATTAACGAGTATCGATGAATTATATTATCTACGGTTTCGAACCTATTTATCGATTGGTAAGCATCGGTTTTTGTATATAAGATTTCTTTATTGATTAACAAGTATGTTAAGATTTGAACGTATTTCTTCTGCTTGCTCAAGAAGCCAGCTGGAAGAGTATTCAGATATCGGTGCGCCACATTTTTCTTAGCTGTTTGTATTTATTTAGTAAAATTTGACTGCCTGCTGATAACTCAGTGCTTCATTGTGCTTAAATCTATAACGCTGGGGATCTGCCAAAGAGCGAGCAGAATAATTTTATGAGTGTCGTTCTGTCATAGCCGGTTAACCAGCCCAATCAGGTTCGGTTAATTTTGCGGCAGCTGTTGTTGCTGTTGTTGTCGAGAAGATTCTGCTTTTGCCGAACATATTTTGGATTGTCGAAGCTATCCTGAAACGACGTTGCCGACGTATAAATAATGTCGTACTCTTCATCGGCAACACAGTAATATTTCAACCTTCGTGTTGTGAATTTGTAGCTGAGCAAAATGGTAAGACAAGAAAAAATGAAAAAACAAAAGAAAAAAAGTGAGAATAACCGAGGATAATTGAGACATAAAAAGATCAAAAGATTACCCAATTGGGCCTATATAGATTATTGAAGCGTGCTGATCGAATTATATCCGTCTGATCCGACTTACAGAAACTCTTGATCGCCTTCGCCCTGGTGGCAGCCGTCAGCGCTGACGTGTCCCATCTGTTCTCGAACAGCGACAACCTGCAAGAGGATGGATACCACTACCAGCAGCCAGCCAAGCAGTTCGTCATCGATGTGCCACAGACCTATGAGCAGCCCGCTCCAGTTGTCTACCAGCAGCCAGCTCCAGCTCCAGTCTACCAGAAGCCCGCTCCCGTTGTCTACGAGAAGCCCGCTCCAGTTGTCTACGAGCAGCCAGCTCCAGTCTACCAGAAGCCCGCTCCTGTTGTCTACGAGCAGCCAGCTCCAGTCTACCAGAAGCCCGCTCCTGTTGTCTACGAGAAGCCAGCTCCAGTCTACCAGAAGCCCGCTCCTGTTGTCTACCAGAAGCCCGCTCCCGTTGTCTACGAGCAGCCTGCTCCTGCTGGCATCCTGAAGGAAGATGGATATCATTATGGCCAGCCTGCTGTCAAATTCGAACCGACTCAGGAATACCTGCCCCCAGTTGTCCAGAAGCCTGTCTACAAGCCAGCTCCAGCTCCAGCTCCCGTCTACAAGCCAGCTCCAGCTCCAGTTCCTGTCTACAAGCCAGCTCCAGCTCCAATTGCGCCCGTGTACAAGCCCCAGCCCGTGATCCCAGCCGCTCCCAAGGTTGTGATCCCAGCTAAGCCCGTCAACGAGTACCTGCCCCCAGTTGTCCAGAAGCCAGTCTACAAGCCAGCTCCAGCTCCAGCTCCTGTCTACAAGCCAGCTCCAGCTCCTGTCTACAAGCCAGCTCCAGCTCCTGTCTACAAGCCAGCTCCAGCTCCAGTTGCGCCCGTGTACAAGCCCCAGCCCGTGATCCCAGCCGCTCCCAAGGTTGTGATCCCCGCTAAGCCCGTCAACGAGTACCTGCCCCCAGTTGTCCAGAAGCCAGTCTACAAGCCAGCTCCAGCTCCAGCTCCTGTCTACAAGCCAGCTCCAGCTCCTGTCTACAAGCCAGCTCCAGCTCCTGTCTACAAGCCAGCTCCAGCTCCAGTTGCGCCCGTGTACAAGCCCCAGCCCGTGATCCCAGCCGCTCCCAAGGTTGTGATCCCCGCTAAGCCCGTCAACGAGTACCTGCCCCCAGTTGTCCAGAAGCCTGTCTACCAGCCAGCTCCAGCTCCAGTCTACAAGCCAGCTCCAGCTCCAGCTCCAGTCTACAAGCCAGCTCCAGCTCCAGCTCCAGTCTACAAGCCAGCTCCAGCTCCTGTCTACCAGCCAGCTCCAGCTCCCGTCTACCGCCAGCCAGAGCCTGTTGCCCAAGGACCTAAGGGCTACAGCTACCCCAACGATCCCCAGCCATCTTTCGACTTTTAGGGAACACTTGTTGTAATTAGAAACTATCTTCCTCTAGTATTAGACCCTTTTTTCGAATTCCTGATGCGAAGTCACTTGAAATAAATAAAAACGACATAGAAAAAAATTAAATAACTTATTTACTTGCAGCTAAAATCAGTTTGAACATAAATGAACAGCAATTAAATTTTTTAATAATTTTCATTCTCCAGCTTAGTATAGAAATGCTCGACTGAAGCATTCCCAGTCAGTATTACCTACTTGATAGCTTTAATTAAAAGATAGCTATATCCTTTCTTGATTGGAAACACTTTACAATTTTCATTTAGAAATTTATATTAAATAATTTGCTTTTCTATCTCGATTTACTTTCCTTAGCTTCATTTTCCATTTTAATTTCATATTAATCAACCATTAATTTCTTAATTTTATTTTGAGGTTAAGTTAAGTTATTTTATTTAAAATTGTCCATTATTCAGAATTTCATTCAGATAAATTGCTCTTTTTATCTAGATTAAGTTCTTTGTTAAGCTCTACTTTTCCTTTCCTATAGATTCTATATTAATATTTTATTTTTAATATTTATTCTTAGCTTTGTTTTGAGGTTAAGTATATTTTTTATTATTTGGAAATCTCGTTTTACATTCTCATTTTTAAATTTTATTTTTACCTGTTGCTTTTTAATTTAGTTTCTTGAGTTTCCTTTCTTTCAGCTTTTATATTAATGTTCCATTTCTCAACTTGCTTAGATGCTAGGTTGAGTCTATTTTATTTACAAATTTTTCGGTGAGTTCCATTCTAGGATTTTATTCTAATTGTTTTTTATTCATGAACAAATTTGAAATAATTTTTAATTTTACATTTTCGAATTTTATTTAAAATACTTTATTTATTGGAAGTGAACCAAATTATTTGTATCGGTAACTGTGCCCAAAACAACATAATTTAGGTTTAATTTATTGAGAGGAACTTTTTATTTGTTTTAGCCCACATTTATGCTATATTGTGTGAATATATACTATTCGTCTAAAAGTATGCAGCGATAGGTACGGGTGTCTATCTTGTTATACGCCAAAACAAAAGGCGGTCAAATAAACAAATATTTATATTGACCAAAACAAAGAGTTAAGAAGTGCGGCTATGAGCAGAGAGCTCAATAAAAAAAGCCTGCGAGCAGTTGTGGACCGAAGAGAGGTTAAACAAATTTTAAGTTTCGTTTAAAATCTGGTTTTCTTGTGCTGCAGAGAGTGAGAGTGTTGAGAGGCGGTTCGATCTGCTGCTGGAGGAGGAGGGTCAAAGGTGCAACTGGATCGAGTTATCGAGAGATGCGAGAGCGACAATAAAATTGTCCAGATTGACAGAGACAAATGGCTCAGAGCATTAATTGAAACGGAAATGTGCTGAAGAGTGTTGACAGCAGGTGCTTTATTGAGTTGGAATCGGAGTCGGAGTCGGATTTGGTGGCGGGCACACGTGATGGATGCTGGCAGCGCATAGAATCATTAATTCAATGTGAAGTGAAGACAAAGCCACAGAGTGAATCAACTGACACTTGACCCCACAAAAGCCAAACGAGTCGCGGCCTTGACAATGAGGCGCTGTTGTAGCATTTCGATTTTTTCGATTCGATTCGATTCGAGTGAACGCAGCAATGGCCCCAAACCCAAACAACCAGCTTGTGTTTATCTAGGGCCGCTCTAACTATCGAATTGCTGTCGCTTGACAAGCAGCATCCACAACAACAACAACAACAACAACAACAGCAGCATTAGCATTAGCAATTTTTTAAGCTGAGCCAAAAAACAAACACGATCGACATATACTTAGAAGTATAAATAGTTGGCGTCTCGGCGGCGTTGCCTGCATTCGCGCGAGCCACGTTGCTGGCAGCTATAAAACATAAAACATTATTATACATATATTCTTTAAGGTTTTTTTGCCCCTCTCTGCCTAGAAAAATGGTAAGCGCTGCTTGTCCGCATGCATTATTACATTTATTATTCGGATTGTGACTTTTAGCGTTTGTTTATTTGGACTCTGCTGGCGGCGGCGGCGCTTTGTCTGCATTGGGCCAAGGCGGATGTTTCGCAGCTGGTTCAGTCGGGCAATGGATTTGTCTACGATGTGCCCAGGGTCAGCGAGCTGGAGCTGGAGCTGAACAATGAGTTTCCCACGGGCCAGGAGTTTCCCCAAGATGCCATACCCGTCGCCCCCTCCGATGCAGAGCTGGGCCAGCTTGAGGAGCAGGAGCCGGTCGCCGATGAGAGCGCTGCCTATGCCTCGTCCAAGAGTCATGGATATGCCTACCGAGTGCCCAGCAGACGCTTCAAGAGCTAAGCTCTCAATCCATTTAGCTAGATATTACTTTGTACCAAAGTCCTAACACAATAAAATTTAAAAACCAAATCAAATATACTCTTGCAGACATTTTACTATATAAGCTATAGAGCTATAAGATCAAATTTTTTTGTAGCTGTTAAGATTCTGCTGATATGCTTAGATTGTAGTGAAACATTCTACTCTTCTACTTATATTCGATTTGTAAACTTCGTGTAGACTTCAGCTGCATGAAACTTTGATTAAGATATTTAAAGAAAGAATTTACAGTTTTTATCTATACTTTCTTTAGCGGCTAAGCAATATAGTTATTCCAGTCTGAAGATAACAAGAACTGCTGAGTTTCATCAAGATTTCCTTAAAATTAAGTCCCTAGTCTAACGGACTCGACAGTTGCTACTGATCTAGAATATATATGCTTTATTTAGACGCGATTCTCCTTGCACAGTTCGTGACAAAAGTATAATAACCACTTGTATTAAAGCCACGTTCAGGGCAATTGTTTGTTAGCCTTTCACCAGCCAAGGGCCTAGGCTTGCCTTGGACAGCGCTTAGAATAGAAACGATATTGAAACACACACAAAGATGTGGCTCTTGCTCTCAATCCTATGCTGTTTGTGTACAAAACAAAAAACCAATAATTTAAAAATATTCAAACAAAATACAAACCGGTTGCAGTTCGAGAAGTCAACGACAAATTTGCACATGTTGCTGGAATTTTGTATACTTGCGCCTATAAATTTGTGGGAAGTGCACAATTAATTAAATTATATTTACATAAATTACGCCACAAATTGTGGCTAAATGCGAGCAGTGCGAAACAAGCGCATGCCGCAGCAATCGCTTTTCAAACATTTCGGTTATCGATCAAGCCGCTGGCGGTTCAACAACCCGCATTAATTAGCTAAGCCAAACGAAGATGTCTTGAAATCAAAGTATGCAAACAAATAAGGCCGCTCAAGTGGAGTGTGCCTGACTTGGAAATACCCTTTACCCACTCTATTCCATGTTTGGTGTTTAAGCTCTTGTAATCTTTGAGATATTTCCTTAAAAACAATAATTAACATCGATTATTATCGATTTTATACAAATCGGAGACAATTATCTTTTGTATATAACATATAAAACTGCGTTTCTTTAGCTCATAAAATCTATGAGATAAATTCAAAAATTAGTTTTCCATATTTATCGATTGTGGTAATGTGCTAAGATTTATCGATCATTTATAACATACTCCCCAGCTCATATAATCTACGAGATAAGTTCGGATTATCTGAACGGAGATATACATCACTAATAACATTTTCTCTTTCTCTTATAATCTACAAGATAAGTTCAATAACCCTTTTTCGATTTTCATATAACATACGAGATCAACTAGAAATAATATTATTGATTTTTATCGATTGTGGTAATGTGATGTGAGTTATAGATGATAACATACTGGCAGCTTAAAGAGGCTTTCATTGATTTTTATAGTTTGCAGTAATGTGGTGGGAGTTATTGATCCTTTATAGCAAACACTCTAGCTCATATAAATTTGAAGATAAATTTTTATCGAACTTTATAGGCTGCGGGGAAATAAAATAAGTTATCGATCAATTCACATTTCTAGTCACGCTGGAAGTCTGCAACCGATACATCACATAAGCATAACACCCATTTTCAATAAGTATAGGGTATTTGAAAAGTGATAGTTGAAACGACAGCACAAGAACGAGATGCCTGAGCAGAGCTGCTTCAAATACAATCTTAACTGATCTTCGATCTGCTCGTAAACTCTTTTGTGGCTCCCAATTAAATAAGTCAACTCGGTTTAAATGCGGGCAAATGTGTCGCAGTTTACGGCGTATCCGCTTACGTTTGCCCTAAAGATTCACGTGGGCTGAGCTGAGCTGACAATTTGATAGGTGGCACAGTTTTGATGTGTGTCTTAAGTACTTGTTTAATCCGAATCCGAATGCTTCCGCAAGCTTTGAAGCGACAACTTTATTGTGTGTGCGCGCGATGTTTTGTCAAGGGGCGAGGGGAGGGGAAGGGGAAGGGGGGAGGCCATGAAATGCTGACCACTCCAACTTCTTGAGACGGTAATTATTATAAATGAAGTCGAAATGATTTATGACAGGCAGCGCAGTGCGCTTACAACGCGACCAGCGGCCAGCGGAACTCAAATGCTATTTGCCCAGCTCGGAAGTGTGGTATTGTTATTTGGCAACAAGCATAAATAGATGGCTAACTTTGGCACGCCGAAATTGAAATACCCTTGCAGATAGATGGCTGAATGTTGGGTGGGTAAGTGTGGAGAATTTGTAGCTCTTAATTATTGAGTTTGGTGAACATATTTTAGAGAAACGTACATGCTTACCATACAGAATTCCAAGCAACATTCAATTCCGAAAGACTCTTTCTTCGGAGTCATATGATATGATGGTCCGTTGTTGACTTAAGATTTAGGGGCATAGTTAAAATAGTAAGTAGCAAATTTAGTTGACAACGTTTTGATTAAATAATTCAAGCAATGGCGGCAAGTTTGGGGTTTGAATCCCTGGAAGATAAATGACTGAATAAATAGCTAAAAATAGGATGACACGCAAAAAAAAAAAAAAAACTTTAAGACCGATTTTAAGTAAGACAGCTATAGTATATAAAAGGCATTTTATTATTTTTATTATTATTTATTATTATTATTTGTTATTTTTATTTATTATTATAATTATTTTTATTATTATTTTGTTTGATCTTTAATTATTATTTTTTATTATTGTTCATTATTATTATTTTTTATTATTATTTGTTATTATTATTTTTAAAAATAATTTTTTATTATTATTTTTTATTATAATTCTGTATTATTATTTTTTATTACTATTTTTTATTATTATTTGTTCTTGTTATTTTTAAAAATATTTTTTATTATTATTTTTTATTATAATTTTTTATCATTATTTTGTATTATTATTTTTTATTACTATTTTTATTATTATTATTTATTATATAAAATTAATGCTTTCAGAGATGTACTCTTCCAAGCGTTACACACTTCATGACCAACTTATAATACCCTCTGCGAGCGTATAACAAGAATACAGTTGCTTTGAGGTTGTTTTATGACGACGTTGATGAAAATGCTCGGAGAGCATTTATCTTGACGCCGTTTGTAGATGGCACCAAAAGAAAAAACAACAACAACAACAATCGAGTCGCAAACAAAACTTGGCTTAAATATTGCATAATGACTACAGACAAAGATACAGATACAAAGAATGCATGTGTATGTGTATGTATATATATATATTAATCGATTTAAATAATAACAATAATTGGCCTTTTGAGCCACCATGGACAGTGGTGGCTCACGAAGTTAGAATTGTGAGTATAAATAAACAGGTGCCGCTGTTATTGGTCAATCATTGAACGTCTTCGAGTCCAAGGTGTAACATGGTGCGTGCCGCCTACTCGGCTGAACTACTCCCGCAGCTCCAAGCTGAACTCTGACACTGTTGTCTTTTGATTTTTGTAGAACGCATTCCTTAGCCTCGCACTGGCCTCTTGCCTGCTGGCCCTGGCCGCTGCCGATGTCTCCCACCTGCCGCTGGAGCAGCTCGAGCAGCACCTGGAACACGAACATCACTATGGCTATGACTATCCCAAGCCGGTAGTGCCATTTGTCATAGCCAGCACGACGACGGCTGCGCCTACGCCCGCGCCCACCTACCTGCCACCGCCACCAGCCACGCCCGCTCCCACCTACCTGCCACCGCCGCCACCCACACCTGTGCCCACCTACCTGCCACCCCCACCGGCTACCACCACAACGACGACGCCTGCCCCGACGCCCGCGCCCACCTATCTGCCGCCGATCATTGTGCCAGAGCCGGAGCCAGAGCCGGGCTATCACTATGACGCACCCGCCGAGCCCTTCATATTCTAAGCCAAACCACTTTCCACCACTTTGTTTGTTGACCCGGAATGCTGTTATTTCTCCCGTTTGCCTAGTCGTTGGTATTATATAAGTTCCGATTTAATTAATAAATCACGTTTGTTAGCTAATTGTTATACCGATATCGTCTAATTCCCAATCACCATCAATTGTTCAAAATAACCCAAAATTGAACTGAAAATTATCTTATTGAACCGCGACGGCTGCTCTGCATATTCATGAGTCCCAAATGCGAGGGGTCTCGTGTTTTGTTGTTATAGACCCAATTAAGAGCGAAATTCGTTTTAATTATTTTCACCCAAAATAGACGTGGGGTGCCAGAGCAAAAGTCAGGTGTGCTCAACTGGGAAATACCCTGGAAATACCCTGAATAGAGCGGCGAGGTTTCTCTTCTTCCATTAAACGTAGACTATAAGAAAAGAGTTCCTTTTTAACTGAGTTAATTATAGTCAGATCATAGTCAAATTTTCAAGTGTAAGATTTGGCATAAAAAAAAGAGTGTATATACAAAGTCCCAAAGCTCTAACTTTAATATGGAATTGGAATGGAGAGAGGTATCTAAAAGATGATATATTTTATACCTCCTAATATTATGCTAGAACCTTCAACCAAGTTTTGTGTATCTAGCTCTCAAAGTCCTCGAGATATGCTTAAATACCCATAACTCAAAATCGATGATTTATCGATATTTATCGATAGTTATGATTAACAAGTCAAGTCTTTAGCTCTTGTAATCTTAGAGATCCACGAACTCACAGAGAAGGACAGACAGCTGGAGATGGCGGCCCGATCAGGAAAATATATAAGGTAAGATGATTTCTCTTTCTGTGACACACATTCCCATTGAAACCATTCACCTTTTTGATCATTTTCAGGGTATCATAAAGACACGGCAATAATTGGCCACGGCTTCAAGTTCAAGAAAACCAAGAAAAGTGTGAAGCAGGCAAATTATGCGCTGGCCTTTGTCTCTTGACGGCGACACAAACAACAAGTATTAATTATTTCCCCAAATATTTAGCTGGAGCCGCAACTTTGGCCACTTTCAGCTGCAACAGCGTATAAAAGCCTAAACCCCAACAAGCTAAGGCATTACTTCCAGTTGTCAGCAAAGCGCAGCAGCAACTGCTTTGGACAGCCCCATTAAAATGGTAGCTAATATTTTGCCTGAATCTCGCTTTCCTCTTATTAATTGCCTTGCTTCTTTTTTAGAAATCCTTGTGCCTCCTGCTGGCCGTCTTGGCCATTTGCGCCAGTGGACGCGCCGACGTCTCCCACTTGTTCGGAGGTGGCAATCATCAGCACCACGACTCGCACCACGACTCGCATTATGATTCGCACCACGATTCCCATCATGACTCCCATCACGACTCACATCACGATTCGCACCATGACTCACATCATTACGATCCGCATAATCACGACTCGCACCACCACGACTCGCATCAGGATAGCCATGGGTACCACCAGGACGCGCACTCGCAATCGCACAATCATGATTCCCATCGCAATCCCGGCCTGCACTTCGATCTGCATTTCGATGCACTGCGCCAGCATCAGCCCAAATCTGATGCACCCAATGGCTACAACTATGTGGCACCACCCGCACCACCTGCACCGCAGCCCAAGCCGGAGTATTTGCCACCACCGAAGCCAAGCAACACGTATCTGCCAGCGGCTAAGCCGGAAACCAAGTATCTGCCACCTAAGGTGGCGCCCAGCTTGCCACCACCGCCACCACCACCGCCGGTGAAGACGCCCAAGGCGGAATACTTGCCACCACAGAAGCCACGCAGCAAGTATCTGCCACCTGCTCAGCCTGACAACAAGTACCTGCCACCTGCAGGAGAGCCTGCTGGCAAGCCACAGACCAAGTATTTGCCACCCAAGATTCCACCAAGCCTGCCGCCACCACCTCCACCGCCAGCCACAGCAGCGCCCAAGGCCACTTACCTGCCGCCTGTGGAGCCAAAGGAAACCTATCTGCCACCCGCCCCACCCAAGTCCAACTATCTGCCACCCGCCCCGCCCAAGTCCAACTATCTGCCACCCGCACAGCCGGAGTCGCAGTACTTGCCACCCGCTCAGTCGGCGGAGGCACGTGCGGCACAGCCAGAGCCAAGCTTTCACATTCCCATACCCTCGTATGCGCTGCCCCTGAGCCAGTCGGCATCGCTGCCAGCTCCATCTGGGCCGGGCAATCCGGGCTATCAATACAACCAGCCGCTGCGCCGCTTCAAGTTTTGAGCTCTACAAATTTAATTTTAAGTTGTGCGAATAAAATATATTACAAAATCTACACATTTACATCGAATATGCTGTTATTTAAATTAAGCGATCGATAATTATTTGGATCTTCAGGCAATTTGGAGGTAATTTACATTATTTCAATTAAGCTCAAAAGTTTTCTCATTTACAGCACACAGCATGAGATTGAAATATGATGCAAGCCAAGGCTAATTGTAAAAGATATTACAGATATGCACTAATTGAGGTAAAGTATATAAGATTTGCTGAACTGGCAGATACCCTGTTCGAAGTAGTCAAAACTTATATCTACTGTTTAATACAAGTCTTGGACTTTCAATAAATATAAGTTTGGCCTAAGTTTGAAATAGCAATGTCTACTTTAAGCTACAGTCAAGAAAAAAGATGCGGGTTTGAATCCCAAGGTTCGAACCGGCAACCTCACAGAAGGGATTATTAAATAACTTCTGTGTTTATTTTCGGATCGTCTACAAACAAGTTCCAAAATAACATTAGCTACTTTTAACGTAAGCCTAATATTAACTTATCCTAGTCAAGTTTAAGGATGAAAAGTCGGGGGTTCGAACCGGCAACCTCACAGCTCAGTACAAAGAAGAGTTCATTGAATAACTTATGGGTTTATTTTCAGATTGTCAACAAACAAGCTCTTAAATAACATTGGCTACTTTTAACGAAAGCCTACTGATAACTAATCCTAGTCTAGTTAAAGGGTGATAAGTCGGGAGTTCGAACCGGCAACCTCACAGTTAAGTACAGAAAGTAGATTATTGAATAACATCTATGTTTATTTTGTTATTCTCATGTAATCAAACTAGGTCTAGCTCTATGCAGGACGGCTTGTTTCAGCTTGGGAAAACTGATTTGGAGTTCAAATCTCAGGCTAGCGAAGGGATGACCCGCCAAGGGCTTGAACCGGCAACCTTAAACCTCATTGAATCACGTCTGTGTATATATTTTCATATCTCTATGAACTTTTCTTGCATTTAAAGTTGAATTAGTATATTTTATAGCTTTATAATCTGCTCCAATTCGATGGAAAGCCAGCCGTGAATTACATCAAACGCTTTGTCGCGCTGCGAACGCATCTTTCGACAGTCGAAGCGAAAGCGATTAAAGCTAATTGGCCATTGTCTAAGGTCAGCTTTCGATATATTGGCTTTCGATATACCCCACTCAAAAGAAAAGGGTCATCGAGCGACTCTGCGCCCAATCAAACGCCGTCGCAGTCTACTTTAGAGACCCGAAGCACGCGCTACGCGCCGCATCGCGGCCTCAGCTTCGACACTTGCAGCTATAATTATAATTGTCTGGTGTGGATTCGAAAATGAATAATGATGGCAATGGATATTGATTGGTTGGTCTGTTACACAAAACATTAAACAAAATCGCTAATTGCCAATTGCAGCCAAAGGCAGCGTCGTCGCTTTTGTTGACCTCTTTCAGTCCCGAGATCCGAGCGGCCCGATGTCGACTGAGGCCAATCGATTGTATTGGCTCTCGATCTTGGCCAAAACTAGTGTATGCCATAAAAAAAAAAATCAATAAAAATGTTCGCTAACTCTTAACTATGTGGGGACTTCCAAAGCAAACGTAATTTTAAATACTCATTTTCAAATGGGAGGCGTTTATAGCTGCCGGCTATAAAAACCAGAGTAGGCATAGTTTTGTTTGCCGCATGTTTAATACCCTTGCAAAGATGTCTGGTAATCTGAGCAGATTAAAGATATATTTTCTCAACTTTTCACAATTTATTAGCTCAGCAAATTGATGTTGATCAAAGACACTGATATACTCTACTAGGCTGCAAGTCCCAAAGAAAAGTGGAAGGCCAACTCTTTGTCTTAAAGGTGCGGGTCGTTAATCTAGTTTAACATCCTTTAAGTATCCTTGAAACCAGATTTGGACTCTTTTTAATGCAACAATTAAATTCAATTAATTAATTTACAATTTCTTAACCATCTAAAAACATTACATACTTCGTGAAGAGTAGGCTATGGCCTTCTGTAAGGGCATCTATCGCCTTATTTGATACATTTGCACAGATGTCCATTCCTCGAGCTTATAATTAAGTGCAGATTTAATGTCCGCTTCGTGCAGAGCAACAACAACAAAGACGCATAAGGCGATTGAAAATTCAAAGAGAATTAATAGAATTTATATGCGAATAAAGGCAGCTCAGGGGTGAGACAAAAAGTCGCTTCGACAACGCATCCGAGACGAAGACCGAGATGAAGACTGAGCTGGAGACCGAGTTGATGATCGCTCTATTGCGCGCTCGGTTCTCGCTGTTTGTATAAATAATGAAGCACTTGCCGGAAACTGTATCATTTCAGAGCCAAGCATCGCACCGAGAACGTTGTCTCACAGCCCAGCTAAAATGGTTAGTTAGCGATCCTCTCATCTCATCTCATCCTGATCTGATTTAATTCTCTTGTGCCATTTAGAAAGTCCTTGTGCTAACTCTGCTCAGCCTGGCGCTGGTTGCCGCCGATGTCTCGCATTTGTTTGGCCACGATCACCAGCACGAGGAGCACACGCATCCTGGCTACAATTACGAGCCGCCGAGCATTCCCTTTGAGCTGCCAACGCCCGCCGCCGTTTATCTGCCGGCAAAGGAGCCGGAGCCGGAGCCCAGCTACTTGCCACCAGCACAGCCCAAGCCAACCTATCTGCCGCCCGTGCAACCCAAGCCGACCTACCTGCCGCCCCAGGTGGTGCAGCCGGAAAGCAGCTACTTGCCACCTGCCCCGGTGGTGCCCACCTACAAGATACCCATTCCCTCGTATGCCGCACCTCTGGAGCCGGATAACACATATTTGCCACCGCTGGAGTTTGTCGAGCCGCACAGCGAGGATGGATATCATTACAATGCACCCGCCACGCCCTTCTTCTACTAAGCCCACTCTTAACCCATGTTAGCCATGTTTTCCGCTTGATATGTGTATATACTCATATATGTTTTATGTCTATCTGTAAATTGTGATTGTAAATTGTCCAGCTATTTATTTATGACAGAGCTCCAAATGCAACTAAAAAAATATTAAAAAGCATCAAATTCGAAACTCTAGATTTTGAGGGAGAAATCCTCCATTCAATATTGTTGATGCTTAACTCAGTGTATGCATTTTTATATCTTATTAATTTTAATATTTAAAATATAACAACAATTCTTCAAATTTTTAAGTTAATTTTCTGCTGAATGGGAAAAGTCCTCTACGCAATATCACATATTATATTTATGAATAAAAATATGTATTTATTCAAATAGGCACAAAACAAACAGAAGCTTCAGCTTAAACTTTGAACTTGAGGTTCAGTTGTGTTGGGGAAAAATCCTCTCTGAGATATTATAAATTTTATGAAATTATTGAAGCTTTAGTCAGCACAGCAATTAGAATATTCATATTTATTATTTATATTTATTTATTTAAAACAATAAGAAACTTAACTTGTGGGGGGACAAATCCTCTCTATGATATTATATATTTTATAAAATCATTGAATTAATTTGAATATTCATATTTATTATTTATAGCTGCCGCCCGGAATATCAAAAAGAAACGTAACGTCAAGCTTTGAACTTGAACTTCTGTTGTGTGGGGAAAATCCTCTTTGAGATACAATTACGAGTGCTCAGCTCGAGAGCCGCGACAGCATAATTACGCGTCATCGAATACAACTGAATGTATATAATACTCAAACAAAACACTCACCACCAAAAAAACCGTTTCATTCATTCATTCATGTGGGCTGTGCTCGAGATCGAACACCCACAACCGGAGTCGGATGTCGTGATGGTATGTCCAAAATTCTTGGCGTATTGCGTGCTGATTTATTGGACCGTTTTTGTTCGTTTGTTAATTCGCGTGAGTAATTGCAGCCAAACAAGCCGAAAGGCCGATTCCGTATGGCTTTTACCCCCCGCCGGAGCCGATGATTTATGGCATTCGCTTGGTCAGCGGATCACAGACGCTGCCATTGTCTCTCGGGGCAAAAGGTGCGAAGAGCTCTGTCAGCGTGAAAGTGAAACTGATGCCAGCAGGAAATAAATAACGAGCTCTGCGCCAATTTGGCTGGCACTTGCTCTGCGGCAACTTGTTGTTGACAAAATTAATACATTTTCTGTATATGTTAATTGTGATCTTATGATCTAATGCCGAATTATGCGCCGGCTATGGAACCAGTTCGCCAGCCCGATCCACACACGCTCCTAATGCTATGCTAATTAATTAGATAATTTCGCTTGAATGCCTTAAATGTTTTCTTATTGTCTATCTGTGCAATAGTTATTGTCATCAGCACTGCATAAATACTTATAAATATATGCATAGCAGCATAAATTATACTTGAGCTATTAGCGCTTGCGATTCCTAAGAGCCGAATCAAGCTATTTCTGTTCACTTTGCAACTGGTTTCTAATAAATATATATTGCATAAGGCTAGAATTTGATAAGACGAGCATTTTAAAGAGAAAGGTTTCCACGAATTCCAAACATCTGCGATAAAACAGTGCGTATGCGCAATAAATCGATTCTTTCTCAGCAGCAAATTTGCTTGATATGAAAAAATGTAAACTGAATACAATTTATTGTACAAAGCCCTGATTTAATTTACACCCGAGATATTGACATTAAAGGTTCAAAAATGGTTTATTTTTGAATCGATCAAATCTCGCAAAAATTATTATGCATCCCTTTGCCTTTATTTATTTATTTGACATGATTGCAGAGATTCGAATAAGTCTAGCTTAGTGAACTTAGTTTAACTGAGATTTATATTATATTTATTTGTATTTAAACACCAAGGCAATTTTCGTGAAAATTATAGTGTACGCCCTTGCTTTTTTTGACATTTCGGCCAACATTTTATTTAAATTTGTTTTTTTGAATGTCAATTGATATTATTATATATTCTATTCTAATATAGCTCAAAGCTCGGGATATATTATAGCTATAGACATTTAAAGTTCTAACACGGTTGATTTTAGAATCAAGATAATTTTCGCAAAATTCTTGGCTTTTTTTTATAAATATCGATAGTAGTTTTTACATCCAACTTAATTTGCCCGAGACATTAACATTTGATCTTTAAATTTGGTTTATTTCAGAATGGAGAATCGAGCTCTAAAAAATGGATATTTATTTGATGTTTACCATAAGCTTGCGCATTCTGCAGGGACTCGGATCTTTAGGTTCAACAGGACTCCATTCTTGGTATGTTTATCAATGAGGTTGAGGTCAAATAGGAACCATTTTCTATTTCTTTCGTAACACAGATTTTGCTGGCAAAAACAAAACAAGCTGAAACTCGATCCAATTTAATGTAGACATAAAAAACGATTTTTCAGGCAAAGAATTTCGCATCTACGAATAAAATGGCTTCAGAACGGATCTTTGCTATCAATTGGTATGAATAAAAACAAAAATAAAAAAATTCTCAGATCGAGCTTTGTTGCGCTGACATATTTCAATTCTCATTCTCAGCTATATAATATACAAACTTTGAATGCATAAATATGAAGTCCGATGATGCCCTTGCTTAATTCAAAAATATAATCTACTTTTAGGCTGGCTTTAACACATCCAAAAGATATGCTGTAAGTTTTTCATTGTCATAGTATAACAGTTTGAATTCAAGCTGGATTTTGGTAATCTCTTCAAGTCAATTCGTGTAGACATATCGGAGCATGCCTTGCATAAAACCAATCAACAAATTTGCTCTCCTTTGCGCGTCCGCGTAATATTCCATTGTGAGATGTGCAGATCATTGCAGAACAAAGCATTTGCCCGGCTGAGATATCAAGTTGTGGACATGCTCATGTAAGAAATTGTAATTAATCAAATCAAGATTGAAGGTCAAGCTTGCGGCTGTCGTAATTATTCTGAAGGAGCCTCCACGCGGAAGTCTTACAGCAATCGATTGACGCCCAAGCAGCAGCCATTAACACCACGGCATTGTCATAAATCGAATCAAATCTGTGATCGAGTGTGGCGCAATAAAAATGGGCAATCAATTCATCAATCATCAATCAAAAGCACTTGGCCGAGAGCCAGCTGAGAGATGACCACCACAGATGACAGACAAGCGGAGCGGAGCCGTTAGAAAGGCTCCTTAACTCATTTGTTTGCACTTTTGGAGACGATCTAGCTGCTTAATCTAGACAAATAACATCGAGATCGTAAACCGGTTAATTTAATTTATTTTGAAAGTATTTTAGCAGATTTGCGTATTTGTCTTTGACGCGGCGCAGCTCGTTAAACGACATTAACAAAAAAAAACAGCCACCATTCCAAGTCGCAACTTATAAAACTATATAAAATATTATGGCTCCCGAAAGTTCACAAGATAAAACAAAAGTGCTGCAGTCGGCCGTGTCCGACTAGTACATACCCTGCAGCCGTTGCAAAGCTTCCAGCTGCCTTCTATAATAGTGTAATATAAGCAGAATAACATGTAAAGACTTCTCCTTGCCCCACATTCTTGCCTTACTTCGCTATTTATAGTCTGATTTTTCAGCAATTTTCAGGGCTTAAGTGTGACTTGCTAAATAGTGTATATACCAAAGAGCAAGGCTCTACCTTTATTAATAAGTAACTTATATAATTCTAAGGGAAAAGGGGTGTATACTCTAAGAGAATCCACAAACCAAGTTTGATATATCTAGCTTTTATAATTCTCGAATCGATATTCATCGATCTTATGAAAGTCGGAGTAGTTATCGAAAAAGAATTGTGTTATTTACAATTAATGATAAGAAATTATATATTATTTTTTAAAGAAGAGTCTATCAAGTCAGCGCTCAACTTGTTCCTCTCTATAAAAACCATTGCGCAGATTATTATTTTAATTATTTAGCTGGCAGACAGCTTCCGTATGCAAATGGTACTCAGTTCCCATAGAGACGAGTACTGCACGTAGCAGGTCTTCATATCATCAGGTTTCGTGATTAATGATGAGTAACTATTGGTCAGTTGGAGTAATAAGAACGCCTCTGCGTGCATTGTTCGACACAGATTTCTTGTATATCTTATTATTGTTGTTTGACTTTGATGCGAGCTGTGAATGGCATAATTACAGTCATGCTTCGATATGGCATATCATGCACAGACCTTGGCCGTGCAAATGAAACATTACCATATTCATGTGGTTCGTTTTCTTTACAAATAATTTATCTTTATTTATTTGAGTTTGCAATTCAACAATAACTAAATACTTTGTTTCGATGCGATTTCGTCTTCCGAACTTCATTTGTCTCTTTGTACTTTGATGTTTAGTTCTTATTTTCGTTTTCGTGGGAAAAAACGCCATTGATTAGGGTTTGGTTAGTTTGGATAGTTGAGTTGATAGTTGAATGGAAGCTGAACAGTTTTCTGTGATAATGTTTGCTTTTTGGCTACTGCTAACGATTCCGATAGCAGTTCCATGTGTGCAGACAGTAGTAGTAGATGTAGTAGTAGTAATAGTAGAAGAAGTAGTAGGAAGCGGGATCGGGATCGGGAGCGGGAACGGGAGCGGGAGCGGGAGAGAGAGGATATATATATGGTATGTAAATAAAAAAAAAGGCAAAAACAAATAAGAAATCATATAGAAATTATATATATTAAATAGACAAAGTTAATTGCTAGGCATCCGCCCCTCTTTAGTAGCGGCGCTGACGATAGAAGCGCCTTACATAGACTGGACGACGGTACTGATAGCCGGACTGGCTGCTGTACGCATGCCCGGGCACCTGATGCTGCTGGGCCAGGGGCGGCAGGTATTGGGCGCGCTGCAGAATTGGCTGCTGGGCATAGGCGATCGGCTGGGCCGCCACAGCGATGGGCCGTGATATGGGACGCGGCAGCGGCGCAACGGACAGCTGACGTGGCGCGGCGACTGGACGTGGCGCTGGGGCAGCAGCAGCTGGTCCTGGTGCCGGCTCCTCGATGTCAATGTATTCCGGTTCGGGTGTGGCAATGTCCTGCGGATTGGGTCCCTGTGTCGCCGAGTCGGGCAGCTGTGCGGCAGCCGCGCAGCCAACCAGCGCCAGAGCGATGAACACGAAGAATTTCTGCCGGAAACAAGAGCAAACATTTTTTCAAGTACACTTTAATTTTGCGGCCATTTTGGGGTTTATTTTAAGCTCCAGACTGGGCGCGAATGGAATGCACGAGTGCCTCCACTCGAGCCCGTCAGTTCGCAATGAAGCTGTACACTTGAGTTGGGGCGCACTTGAATCGCGTTCGCGTTCTAAGCTTTTCACACATGCCCCGCAAAGGTTTATAAATAAATATAAATGTATATATATTTATTTTTGCTTTGGTCACTTTAGTCCTTAGTACACTATGAGCACTGTTTATTCCTTGCTGGAGGATCATCACATACCATTTTGTTAAATTTTTGATATATTTATTTATTCGGTTGTTGGTTACGCAAAAATTTCTCGTCCAGAAGCGCACGAGCAATTTACACTCAAGAAGTTCAAAGCACAAATGATGATGAGCTGGGCAGTTTCTATGAAATTTATACTATATCTGGCCCGTCCGGTTCGCTATGTGGGTCTAAGAGAAGCAGCGCAAAGCGACGACCGCCAAAAATACCCAAAACACACACATACGGTGTTATAAATAAAGTAACAGCAACAGCAGCAGCAGCAACAACAACAACAACAACTTTAACAACATCAAACAAATTCAAATCAAAATTTAAATTATATAATATGATATTGGTTGGATAGAAACCACATAGCTAGAAGTGGTCACATGTCTGAGCATCTGCCGAATCGCTAGACACGGTCACAATCACAATCACAATCACAGTCGCAGTCACAATCACTTTGGTGTCGTCACGAGCCGTGACGCATCAGGCGAAGACACAACAAACCGACAAAGACCTAAACAAAAGAAGATAGTTGGCCCCTAAAGAGTTAACTCGATCAGACACACACACTCTCCCTCTCTCTCTCTCTCTCTCTCTCTCTCTCTCTCTCTTCTCTTTCTCTGTCATTCTCGGTTGGACTCTCTTGAGTGTGCTGTGCGGTGCTTGGCACGGCTCGTGGCTCATAAGTGAAGTTCGTTGCCTAAGTCTTTTGTATTGTTCGCTCCAATTTGCATAACATTTTGTAAGAACAATATTTTTAGCCAACACTTCGATGAAGTATAGCTCTCTAATTATGCAGATAGCTTGAAGTTTTTATTTTCGAATTTAGTGCCACATAAATCTATTGGGGCTGTAAAAATTAAATGGTGGGCCTGGCACATGTTTTGTCAACACTTGTGCTTAGCTGTGGCCGGGGGGAGGGGGGATATATTGTCTTTTACGATATGCTTCTTAATTTTTTGATCAACAAAGCTGAGGAGATTGTCTGCCCCATCGACAATTGTTTGTCTGCGCACTTGACCTCTGCTGCAAACAAATAGACAACAAACTAATAGACAACAAATTTAACGGCTTTCGGGGCATACGAATATCATTTCCGTTTTCGTGCATGTGTGTGGGGGAAATACATTCACCACAGCCTAAGCTAGAGATGAGCATGGATAACGATCTCTTCAATCAAATCGAGCTAAGAAAATGTTACCAACTTTGAGCTCAAAGCCAGTCGATAGTTTGTATGTAGAACAACATGAGATAAATGTGATAATATATAATGTCTTTGGATTTCGTGCTCGTGTTGGCCCATCTCTAGTCTGAAGTGTATCAGTTGAGGCTTTCAAATGCAGGCAACTTTTTTGGCATCAAGGCTGGCCTACAAACCTCAGAGCTAGTCGGCCATTTTGAATGGGAACATAAAAATGAGTTAGAACTTGGTCTCCATTGTATTATGTGTGTGTGACATCATGCCACGACGGGCTGCTGTGGCTGTTGCCTTTCACCTGCTCGGCGCCTTGATTAATTGAATCTTTGTCATCGAAAACATCGAAAACTAAGCAAACAGTCGAACGATGCGCACCGAAAATTAATAGTTGTTTTTACGGTTATTAGAAAATTGAAAAGTAATTAATAACGACTTTGTTGGCATATTAAATTTCGAGCCAAGCAAACTGAGCATCGATAAATCTGTCATTAGCCACGGGTTGCGTCAATCTTTCGACTGTCATTTCATATGGAAAACGGAAACGAAACAGGAACATTTGCAACGAGCTCACAATGTCGGTTAAGAGGCGTGCCAGATTTATGGAGTTGTTGTGCATTGAATTGGAGCGCATTTCAAGATATATATAGCCCAATTTTATTATTATTTTTATGGCAATAATCATCTAAAGTGAATATGTTTATCATTTCAGACGTTCAGCTTTGGCAGCACCGGAACAAAAATAAACTCGCACCAAATTAGCATAGTCAAAGATTTGAGAAACATCAATAAAATGAATAAAATGAAAATGAAAAGAACCGGTACACAAAAAACCTATCGCACAGCTAAATCAAAAGCCGTGAGCCGACCCGATGCCGGCAATCGAGACATGTGCCTAATATTTATGGAGCCCAATGTGTCGCATCATTAGCCAAATGCACCAAAAAAAAAGTGGGCCTAATTGAAAGTCGAGTGCCGCCAAATACGAGCATTAACCTTGCGTCTTAGGCAACGCCTAATTTAATTATAATGCTGCGAGCGTGGCGTGACACTAGTTCCAGGTAACATGATATATATATATATTGTATACGACCTGTTATCCGAGCCATGTTTATTGCTCGTTTACAAGCCAGATGCGGCGATAAGAACAATGCGCTGGCCAAAACGCTGTGGACAACAACAGCGGATTCCCACGTCTACAAATTATGGCTTAAAAGAGAGACACGCCTCGTTCTTCGACGTCGGCTGCCGGTTTTGGGGCTTTGCATTTGAATTGAGCTGTGTAAATACCAACAAATATGACAAATTTGCATGGCTGAGCAAAGTCATCGAGCGGTGGCCTATTGTCAACACAGCCAACACAGCCAACAATCGGGCAGCAGCTGTTTTGTTTTTCTTTAACATTTCAATCGGAACATGGCGTATGCGCAATGCCAAATTAAGTTGCTAGGTTAAACACTTCTACGTATCTTTAGCATAAATTGACAATAACTGCATGCTAAATGCTCATAAATTCAACAAAGCCAAGCCAAATTGCACAATTTAAATTAAATGTTGCCAGCAGGCCAGCCTTGGCCACATACGTTTTTATTAAATAAATTCTTTTGCCGTGAATTAGCCAGCCAATCTTTCGGGCCCGTCGTACTACATGGTGACTCGCTCCTGTCATTCACTCAAACTGATTTTGTCAAGTGTCCAAAACAATGAATCGTAAATAACTGACGTGTTTCCGCACATTCACCAACGCCAGCAGCAGCAGCAGCAGCAGTCCGCATTAGCATTATAAATATTCAATTAATAACGAATAAAGTAAAGCAGAAACGCAAACAACGAAATTATTGATACCCTAACTCAACTAAAGTATTTCTACATTGCATGGACGACGTGTGACAACATCAAGAAATTGTACTCAAGCTAGGTACAAATGTCAGATAAGTTCAACAACTTTTTTTACTCTCACTTTTCAAATATTTCAAATCAAAATTGTATGTCCACTTTTTTAGAATGTTAAATCTCACAATATTTGTGTTTCTTTTTGGTATAGTATAGAAAAGAATCAATTATTTTGTACTTAAATTAAATCGTTCGCACTTGGTTTAAATACGAAAAGTTATTTTAAGTTTTTACTTTGTGTGTAATGCCTAAATTCTTGGGTTTTTGGGATTACTTTAAGATGGTTTGAACTTAATTTTAAGGCTCTTTTTGTTATTTATATCTATTTATCTATATCAAAGCCGAAATGGACTTCGAGCATAAATAATGCTTATATTCAAGTACAAAATAGGCTCGACTTAAAACAATAATATACCTAATACGAACTTTAATCCCGAAACTATGCAAAATATTGTAAAAAAAAACATTTTTTTGTCCATTCAAGTCTTAATATTTGTATGGTTTTTCCATTAACAGGCTTGATTTATACTTAGTATGAGAATATTTAAGAAAGTTATAGACTAAACTAGAATATAATATGTATTTTTTTGCAGTCCCGCTTATTTTAAGTATACCAAATCTTATAATCAACTGTTTGCTCTTAATCCAAGCATTAATTAGCTTGTTTTTGCCCAATTTTTGTTAAGCTTAGGGCATGGAATAGTTTTAAAAGTTGAGCTTAAAAGTAAGAACATGGTTTTTCTCTCAGTGCACGCTGTATTTTGTCCGCATAACTCATAGTCAAGTAGACATGCGAGTATTCTAAAATGTGGCCAAAAACAGACAGATCAGATAGTTGGACTGACAGACTTGTAGAATGTTCAGAGTGCTCGAGTGATTTATAAATGCTTCAATAAATTGTATTTAAATGCCTGCTCGGGCAAATAAACAAATGTTGCCCATTCGCATTATTTCCGCCTCCGCATTTAGCCAATCACATGCAGTAAACAACTAATTGAGCTGGGCCAGAAGCCAGAAACGCTTGACCCAGACGACGGCAGCTGTTTTCTTTTTTTATTCCCAAAATGTCACACTGCTATTTTTATATATATTTCTCATACTCAATATTGGCGACACGCGCTGTGAAAGTTGACAGAGATTTTAAAAGTTAATTGGCATCGAATTAATTTATGCAAATTGGTCGAACCAGCATAGAACGGGCAAAAACAAGCTGGATCTAATCATTGTTTAACTTAGTAATTAGCTTTTATATCGCTGAAAAAGAAATAAAACTCAATAATTATGATGCCGGGCTGCCCGTTGGCCATTTAATATCAGCGATGGCCAAAACGCTTAACAATTTTCTTAGACACTTTGGCACCTTTTTTTCGTATTTCGTATTTTCGCGGCTGGCTCGTGCCGCAGTTTGACACTTTGAACTTTTGCACAAAAAAAAATAACAAATATTGAACAATTGATTATTGATTATTGACTATTGATTGATGCACAATTCTATCAATAAAACTTGAGCAGATAATTTGTACACTCAGCTGCCAAACTTGTTTAGCTGGCATTTGAGCCAGTTCGCAGCTGGTCTCCATTCATATTTTGTTGTTGGCTTTGGTGACAAATCTAGTTCATAGCTAAACATGAGCTGCCCCGCCGATAACTATCGATCTAACACTAAAAAGTCAACCCGTTCTCGTTCTGTCGGTCGATCTGGCCCCTGGCACTTAGCGGTAAGTAGCCAACAGAAACGGAGACTCGAAACTTGTTGATTTAAATGTTTATACTTATTTATCTGTCATTCAAGTTAATTTGTACAAATGCAAATGCCTTTATCTTTGTCCAGATATCAGTTAGCATATTTTTTTATATTCCGCATCCATTTCAAAATGGGCAGCCAGGGTATGATGGGCGTGTGCAAGGGCTTGTTACAGCCGGGAGAAGGCGACTTTGAGACAATTATGTTAGGTCTATATATCGATAAAGCCATCTGCCTAGCTAAAGACTTGAAACTAAAGATATAAATTCTCATTAAACATATCGATAATATTGACAATACCTTTCGATTTTAAAACAAACTATCTTGGGCTTAAAGTTTAGTAAGTAGTTTTAGTATGGCATATAAAGATTTAGAGTGAACACAAAATTTAAACAAATCCCATCTTTTAAGCTACGAGTCATGTGCTTTAGTATGTAAATATATTTTAGTATCATATTTGTGGCCTAAACATTTTATAAAGATTGAACAAGAGAGTGTATATTAGAAAGCACTTCACATGTATAGACAAGGTAAGAAGAAGCACAACTGAAGCATAAGTGTGTTATTGTTATATAAATGGAAGCTAGAATGTTAAAGAAGGCGGCTCGGCAATGGGATTAGGGTATCTGATAGGCGAGCATACCCACTAGATAACTCTTACTAAGTTTTTGTTGTTGTCTAAGCCGAGAACTCGTTTCGCTTAGGCAGACACGTGACGTAGCTTGGCTGGCAACCAAAAGGTTCTCTGCCGGTCCCGCCACAAAGTCTGGCCAAGATGTTCTGTAAAGTTCCTAACTAAGCGGTGTCAATGGCCCAGCTAATTGCGGCTGTAAAGGCTTATGGAGAGAGTGTGTGTGTGTGTGTGGATGAAAAGATAAGTAACTGCTGTGACATTGTTTCGCGTTGGCTGCCGCTTTGTTTGCGTCCGTGCAGCTTGAAAATGGCTTGAATGTGATTGTTGTGCGAGTGTGTGTGAGTGTGTGTGTAAGGCCAAGGTTAAAATTTGTAAAGAGATTGTAAACATTGGATAATTTTAATTTTTGTGGTTTCTTTCAGTCTTTCAGCCAGCCTCATTTGCATTTTTGGCGCTGCGCTGCGCTGCGCCGACTCGTCGTTGATTTGTGTTTGACACGTCTTATGGATTTTTCTTTGACAAGTGCCTGTCAGCGCTGGAGGCCCTCACGGCGCACGACGACGACGACGACGACGACGACGACGACGACGACGACGACGACGACGACGACGACGACGACGACGACGACCCACATTGCTGTTGTTGCTGGCCAGCTCCAGTTAAATTTGACCGCTGCACAAAGCACATTTGAC